CGACTTATCTGGCTACGCCCGCCCTAAAGAAAAGAGGACATAGATACTCTCTAATTCCGCATGGCTTTTGCCCTCAACCGGTTTCAACACTACCTGCTGTCCGACTTTGACGAAGGAGACCTGACTTTAAGGAGTGTAATCCGCCGCACTTTCTCTTTAGCCACGCGGTGGCCGGTAACAAGTCGTGTACAGTAGGAGTGGGCTTCACCAAATGCTTCGACCGCGTTTATAGTGGTGACACCGCCAATTGCTTGAAGAATAGCATCATCAATGATACCATCGACGTATACTAAGACGTCGATTGCGGCTCTGGAGGGGAGGTTCGCTAGCATGCCTAGCACTCGGCTTACCACCGTCGCCGCCATTCGAAAGAACCCGGAGGTTCAAGCGATAATGCATGGCGGTAATTCCCTCCTTTTCATGAGAACTTCTTCCTTCAGTAATGCCCGGTCGTTTTGTTGTCGATGGCGTTGCAGGACGGCTGTATCTTAGGACGAGATTCCAAGAGCTTAGAGAAGATTAATCTGTTATTTGGGCTGCTCTTTGGACAAGACGTATCTCAGCATGAACATTTAGGATCTGGCCTTTGGATAATGAGATCTCACTCATAAGTAACGCTATAGGCCTGGAACCCGCGATGCCAACAGGAATAAGCGGATACACATGCAGTAATGGAGTTAACAGCTGATCAGAGGAATCTAGATATGTAGCGGGGGCACAGAAACCGCCAAGATACAGTAAATAACCCTAAGAATGATGTCGCGAGTTCCCCCAGTGTTACTAAAATGGAAGCATTGTTGGCGGCACTATCATCCTTCTACTTGACATTTACAACGCAGAAGTTTTATGTCAGAACTAACCAAGCTTTCTTCCGGTGTCTGAGGTAAATAAAGGTATTGTCAGGCGAGTCCCAAGGGGTAAGGCCGGCCGGGAACCAAGGTGACCGATATTAGTAACAAGGGATGGGCAGGAAGTTCAGCTTCCCGTACTGCCAGAAGTCATTAAACATACAGCCGCGTAATGCAGTTTATTAAATTCAAGGCCTTCAGGGCTGCTTAAGGCTGTGCTGGTGATGTTTTTGAGCAAAGCTGGTGAAGGAGAATAATAACAGAGGACTTAGCTTCTGCTACATTATGCTCTGTTCTTAGCCTATAGATTTGGCTCAATAAGAAGAAGCCATATTATAACAGCTAGTAGAGCAAAGCTCAGCGAACCCGCGTCGGGGACGTTGGTCAATGGTAGAAATAGCGGTTACTTGATCCCAATGCAACATCATCAGGTAAAAGAATTGGCCAAGCTACTGGGAAGCTGACCAAAATGCAGAAATGGCAACTAATGGATTCTTCCCGAGCGAACCACCGAGTTTGCTGGAACGACACCTCCACGGTCCATCCGGAAGCAGTTCACGAAGAAGGGCAACAAGGCTCCTACTCTGATAACCTGGCAAGTTGGCGCAGCTGCATATTCTCGCCCTTCGCTTGCTCATCTATGCTGCAAGCATTGCTTGTCTTGCCAACCTGTCTGAACCTTCGTTGTGCAGTACTCTCTTCGCAATTGAAGCTGTGATACAAATGGCCGTGGGCTTGTTACACTCCTGCGCATGATGAGATTGATTCTTCGAGGTACCGGAGCTACCCATGGCAAGAATAAGATGTATTTGAGAAGCGCTGTGCCTCTGCGGCATCGACAAGGAGGGGGGACACCATACCAGCATCGCGAAGGTGGTAATAGTTGTAGAGGCCATTTGATATCTCGGTGGAGAAGTCGTAAACCTGTTGAAAGGGTTTGATGGGACAGCGAATCTGTTGCCTGGATCTTGGTCATGATATCGATCGGATGATGGGAATGTCAACTTACCGCCACCATCGGTTTGTCGACGGCCTCCTTCTGCACACCATTCTTGACCTTGTCCTACTTCACCTCTATATTCTTTTCCGTCCTCTCAATGTCATCCGCCAGACTGCTCATCTTGTATCCGTATCGCTCGGTCACCGCCAACGCGGTCAAACTCAACTAGTAAATTTCGTAGTTTCCCACCAGGTCTTAGCATCTCTCTTAAGTTGCCATGCTAAAGTCCATCGTGATAGCGTTCTGTCGAAGTTCTTTGTTTTCTTTTTTCTGTACATCGTGGTATCTCGAGACCATGACTGCGATCTTGCCGCTAAAACCTTGATCAGCTTGAGCATCTTGTCATTAGCAACGTCGGTTTCTAGTTGGTAGTGGCGGGCTGGTCGTTGAGAAGCATGCTCAGCAATGGCTATTGTGGTGAGACAAGCTCCAATACCTGGAAAAGAAAGGTCAAGCTTGTTATCGGTCGCGGGACCATGACATCTTAGTGCATGACATCGCTGATAGCATCTAGTATCTCTTTTGGTAGCTCGGATGCCTACGCGGATCGGGCGGCGGAAAACGGACAGATAGCTTCTAGCACCCTATTCGATGTCATTTTGTGTGGCGCAAGAGTTTATATGGCTGCGATCGTGGCCAAGACTTCGGAGGTTCCTCTGGTCCTCAGTTGGAGGTTCAGCTAGTTATCGGGTCTTGCAGTCTCTGCTGCTCTTCGTCTACGACGTTTGGACCCGCGGATCCCTCAATGGGACTAAGAATAATGGGTCGCTAGTCATGTAAATGCACCACAGGCCTTAAGAGCTATTGCGATATATCGAGAGCTCAAGGTTGATGAGTACGCGCGTTATTTGGTGGAAACGCCGGTTTGAGGACCAGGCTGTTGCTCTCGCCATCTGGGTCTACATGAGAGCGGCGGCTCCCGATCAACGTCCGGAGATCTCGAGGGCTGCATGTCTTCAATGTGATAATGTCAGCACAAGAATGGAACGTGTGGAATCGCTGGGCTGAATGAACTGTTTGAAGCCTGTTGAAGAATGCCATACTTGTCGATATAGAGCTTGTTGAGCAACCCAAATAGTTCGGCGGATCTGACCAAGCTTTTGCCAACCGAGCGTCGAGCAAAGCGCAAGGGAGATCGGGTTTGCAGGCAGGCGACTGACCTGTATTCCAAAAGAATCGACGAGTGCCCTTCTGTGATCCACGTCCCTTGCAGAAATGGATGCAACGCGCTCACCAATCGTTCCAGATGTCGTTCTAGCCATTGATCACCCGTAAGGCTGGCACGGCACCTCGACTCTTCACAGTCATTTGCACGTAGTGAATTGAACAACGATGTACTCTTGAGCGACGGAGCTGAGGTGTGCTTTGTTGGAAGCCTTGGCAATCGTACGCTGATCTGCTTCGTGTCGAGAATTATTGTCTTGGGGTTTCCGGTGTTGTTTGCGAGAGCGTAAAGTCGTAACTTGCACAGGAGGCAAGGTGATGAGTTTCATGGTGTGGATAAAGATGCGCGCTAACAAGAGCCTTCATGCCGGTATAATCTCAATGCCGTTTCACAACTCTGTCATATGAGGTCATGCCTAACGCTTACGGATAACTTATCAGCAGAGCCTCATAAGCTTGTGCAATGTAGGGTGAGACAAACGGTGGGTGTGAGGAAGTACAGCGAACGCCTCGGTGGGAGATCAGCGATTTTTGGTGTAAGCCATTCCGCTGTTTTTCCCTTACCCCAAGGGCTTAGTGTATAGGTCCACCATCTCCCCTTAGCTTAACCTCGCTACGATCCTTTTACCTGTTTCGGATCGACAGTTTCTTCTCATTGGGTCACTCTCAGAGATCGATCTTACTATTGACTTAGTGAAGTGACGCAGCCAATGTCATGTAATCGCAAAAGTGCTAGACCATGTAGTGTTCTCCAGGGGTATCTATACTCAATTAGACAGCTCGTCCACTACGGACCGCAGTACGTTTTTATTGCACGCCTGAGGAAGGCCGCTTGACAAATTGCTTTTTCGGCCTCCGTTACGTGACTGCGTAAAGGTACACCCTTGCCAGCAACGTGCCGCGGCTCTTTTCCTTGACAGATTAGCGGGAGGAGAAGCTGTGAACTCCGGTTATAGATGCTTCTTTAATTGTAAGACCGGACAGAGCAGGCTACCGGCTTGGGAAAAACAGGAAACCATCGTCGCCTTCGCTGTGTGATTGATGGAGAGAAACGGCCGATGTGCCTTGAAGCACCAATGTCAGTAATTGGCCATCATCTAACGCGATCCTTCAAGTCTAGGGTAGTCGTACGTTGCGCTCTTGTTTTAAGATGTCACCTGAAGAACGGCCTTTGTACATATTCCCCTTGTTGCTCTCAGATTCGTTATTCTCTCTAACCAATGTATTTTGGTTAATTGACCTTAACTATAATACTTTGCGATTAATTCAACTGATCTTGCTTTCTCCTGGAAATAGGAATTTGCCTTGGGGAACTGTGGAGTATCATTGTGAATGTCTGTCTACTGTGACCAGGTGAGCTTCAGTGGACGTGGAAAACGATACAGACAGAATACAAAGCACTACTACAGTTATTGAATAACCTTTCTCTTTTCTTATTTGTCTTCATTGGCGCCCCTTTTGAACAAATAATCACCTGTTTCTCTATTCTTATGCTCCTCCAATGCCCAAGGAGGGGCCCTCCGATTTTGGCCTAGTGGATCTTTGACACAACGGTATCATCAGCCACAATGGCAAAGAACAGCCACAGAAAGTGGCTTGTCTGGAACGAAAACTTAGTACCTCGATCCTAAAGGATAAAAAGACTTAGGTAATTTAGTCTAAGATTACGATACCTTTACTAACTTTAGGAGAGCTTTTCTAAGGTTAGGATACCTTTGCTGAGTTTATTACAACATTATATCCAGGTCTGACATTTTCTTGCTCTCTGGGACTTACTTCCCTGGCTTGGCTGCCCTGCCAACGGCTCGCGATAAGATAAGGTGAATTTGAGCCCCACCAACGCGCAACGCGATGCAACTGAATCGCTGACAGGGCCGACTGAAGTGAATTGCGAATTGCATCATCGGCACCCCACCCACCAAAGCTGCAAATAATCCTACAACTTCCTCCCTCTCTCTCTTCTCTTCTTTGCATCTTCGGCCTCTACAATGGAGCCTGCCGACCAAACAACACCCTCCTCTTCTTCTTCCTCCTCCTCTTCCTCCTCCTCATTCGTGCCTTACGTCCACTCGCCGTCCTCCCCCAAGTCCACGGCCACATCCAGCCGCAAGGTGTCGCCGCCCGAGCTCAAGCTGGAGGGCTATGAGCATATTGTCCGTATGTGTTTGTTGGTGTTATTAACCATTGTGCCCTGGGGGCTGAAGCCTCTTTTAATGTCCCAGACTAATCTTATCACAGAGCTCAAGCAGTGCGAGATCAAACAATCCCCCGCGCCCGAGCCCACCGCGCAAACCCAAACTGGAGCCAGCCGTCTCCCAGAAGCTCTCGCTGACTTCAAGCGCAAGGCCGATGCTGGTGAAGCTGGTGCCTGGACCATCCTCCCACTAAGCAACGAGGACCACACCAACTACCTTGAGCAAATCGAAGCCGCGTTTCGACGATTCGACTACGATCCTACAAGAGGCTGCATAGCTATCCGAATGCCTGGACTAGTACACGAGTCCTTTATTTGCGAGTTCAATCTCCACCTGCGTACACGACTGATTAGCCTGGGACTTGAACATCAGAACACAGTTACTGGGGACTTCTTGAACAAGATCCGCGGCTACGGTTCTGCTGACATGGGATTGAACCCAAGCTTATCGAAGATGCCAAAGCAGAACATGGAAAATGCGAAAAAGCTTACGCGCTCCCCAGATGCTCAATTTGCGCTTAAGGATGCAGGTCTATCTGGTGTCGTCGTCGAAGTAGCATACTCCCAGGATGGCAAGAAGCTGCGCGGGCTGGCCAGGGATTACATTATTCGCTCGCGTGGAAAGGTCAAGGCTGTTATTGGCTTTGATCTAAACCGGGGTAACACGCCGTCAACAATTTCGGTCTAGAAGATTCGGAAGACTCGAAGCGATGAAGGCCGACTCAAGTTGACAGCTGAACCAGTGGTGCATCAAACCGCAAGTTCCCTCCCCCCCGTCACCCTCCCGCGAGACATGACCTAACTAGGTATTCTAGATTTTCCGCACAGGTGAAAAGACTCCAGCTGATGGCGAGCTAACACTACATCTTCACGACTTTGCCGAGGATAAACGCTGTGAAGGCGTCGATGACTTGTGCATCTCGATCCCGTACAGTGAACTCTCTACTATCTTGGGCTCGGCCGAGGGAAGAGCCGCACTGATAAAAAGTGACTTGTTGGACGAGGACGAGGACGAGAGTTTTGACTTGTCGCCGACGTCATCCAAATCCGAAGAAGATCTATATCCGGAGGAAGATGTGCATCCTGAGGAAGATCCGAAGGATGTGGACTACGATCCGGACAAGAGTGACTCAGGCTCTGAAGAGACCAGTTTCACATCTCACGTCAAGAAGCGGCCTGCCGCCAGAGCAGATCTCGCCGAGGGGCAAGGACCCAAGCGACTTGCTACCCTACCAACCGTCGATGGACCGGCCCCCAACGATAAAGAATAAAGACAGAACAGATGCCTACCGACCTTTTGTTCTTGAACAATCATTTTGTGTATCAACGGCAATTTGGTCTAGTTGTTTGGATGTAATGGTTTTGTTCAATGATTGATAAAGGCTGGGAATGTTTGGCGGATGTTGATCCTCAATGACAAAGACTTAGGTAACTTGGTATAAGCTTAGAATAGCTTTGATGAGTTTAGGACACCTTTGATGGCTTTAGGATACCTTTGATAGGTTTAGGGTACCTTTTACTGAGTTTATTTTGACATCCTGTATCAAGATTTGGTGTTTTCTTGCTCTCCGAGGGGAGGGTAACCTGACATGGCATACTCCGTAAGTCATCCAAAGGCCACAACAGCCGAGCTCGACTTTGGCGATCCAGGTGCAACTCACTCCTCCATTTACCTGACATTTGTATCGCATGGTATAAATACATCAATTGCAGCAAATCCAGTGTAATCACAGCCCTGTGACATTGCATCCGACGACTGGCTCGAGAACAAGTTGAGATGACAAGGCTCAGCATCAGAAACTTCATGGTCTTGCCAGTTTGGCTAACATGAGAGCTGCGGCATGTTTCGGACCCATTGTGACTTGGCCTTAATTATCACAGAAAATTGCTGTTAATAACCACCTCCGATAGAGGCGATGTTGCGCGTTGCTCTCGGTCTTGGGCATGATCTGTAAAAGTCTGTGTCATCAGGTGGCTGCCTCAAGGCTCCTTCAATGCCGTGACTGAGACACCAAGGCTTGCAACGCACGTTGAATCATCCGAACCGAGACAAACGGGCGCTTTTGAAATCATCGCCTGATGATGCACATCAGTCACATTCCGATTTTCTTTACCTGGTCCTGTATTCTTGTGGTGACAGCGCTAATGCGCCCACTAATTCAGCCCTGTGGGTACGGTAAGTTTTAGGCGGCTTTACGCGCGATCGGAATAATGCCCAACACTTCTAGAGCTTGAGCAAGCTGCTGCTGTCGCGGCATTGAATGAAGCTGGGATAGCGCTTATTGTGTATCATTCAAAAGATGGAACACGTGGTTCTTGAATTGCGATCAAAATAAATCACCTTGTGAGGTCACCCGCAAGAACCAGGCTTGTTTATCTTGCATGGTGTCGCTTGTTCATCACGTTTGCCCATATTCGTGGCTGGACAGGGCACTCACTGCCTACGCCTTCACCACCGACATCTTTTGTGACAAGAACATGTTCGCAATGATTTGGTGGCTTTTATGTGACATGTCGCATGAGTCTTGTATTCCAGCGTTAACGCAGCCCACCACGTACCGGCAGGACAGCAAACTTCGCGAGGTCCGTGTGAAGATCTGTTTGATTGCGGAAACAAAGGTAAAGTCTTCAACAAGAGTGCACTGCTTTGCAAGCAAACATACGTCTAATACGTAGAGACCATGTGATGACAAGGAAATCCTGAGATATTGAGGCACCTATGACTTCCTCCATTAACTGTGTCCCCGTGCATGTTATTGCTGCTGGTGACTGAACGAAAACAAGGGGGAGTCATACCAAAAGCGCAAGAGTGAATTGTCGTGGGTTTCATGCCGCAATGGAAGAGAAAAACCCCGTATCTTCATTGTCTGTGGTAGTCAATTATCGTCATTCCTCGAAGGGTAATTGTAAGATGGCTGGAGCTCTAGATGTAGCCAAACACCAACGTTTAGCAGTGAATGACCAAGCCTCAAGGCATCAACAACAGCTCCATGTTATAAATATTCGGTCTTATCCAAATGCAATCCTGTTACTTCCATCATACCATCATCCACCGACCCCAACAAGATGGATGCCCGAAACACCGACCGGAGACTCCGCGCTCGACAGTTTCAGAGATTTTACCACCACAAACCACCACTGCAGAACAGAGATCTAATCACAGACGCTATTCTAAAAAAGGCAAACTATTATGAACCAAACTATAACCTCTCTCAATGCGCGCCCGGTGAAGTGGAATTTGAACCAAAATGGACCGAGAATAGAGCTAGCTTACGCTCTACAGTCAACACAAGTTTCTGGAAAGAGGCGTTTAATGCCCCTGAAGAGGAAGAGGCGTCTGAAACTAGCATGGCTGTAAGTTAATCTTGTCCGACTGCATTGGAAATGCTAACGGAAAGCGCAGAGCGCCGCTTCAACATCGGAGGACCAAAATTCGCTGTCTATTGCCCTTGATGGGCCCGAGCTGCCTGACACTACCGCCACTGTAGGTTCATCGCATCTAACTGTCTTTAAATACGCTAATGGAGCATGCAGAGTGACCTGACCCAGACAAAGACCATGAAGTATTTGAGATCCGTCCTGGATACACTGGGAACGGATGGCATGCCAGGCGGCTGGGGAGAGGAAGAAGAATTCCTTTTCACCAACAAACAGGTTGCTAGATATCTGCGATGGACCAAGAAGGAAGGCGAAGGACCTGGAAAGGAATAGCGAGAGAAACGATAGGAGTTATGCATATGTAGGGAAACAAGCTGTCGTAATAGACTATCTTACTTGCGGCCCATAATCACTGGGAAGGGAACAACACTTCGCAGCAGATCCTCCCAAACCTTTCCCGGAAAAGGATAACGAACATCGTTTCCAAGACCAAACAGCTCTCGGTAAGCATCGTCGAGCTCCTCTTCAGTCTCCCTCATCTCCCCCACCAACTCACGCCTCTTGTCAAATAACTCATCCAGGATGCCCATCAACCCCCCCACGTCACCATCACAGACCTCATCCTCTATCAAGATACGGTATATCCGAAGAATCGTCACGTTCCACTCAATAAGCCTCTGAGTCCCTTCGTCGATCTTGGCGCGGTGCATTTCAACCGTGGTCATGAAGTTGTCGCCGGCGTTGGAGATGGACTCGGACGCTTGGATAGCCTGTGCTGCGCTTGTCGTACGAGTCGAAGCAGATGCCAGCGTCTTGGAGTTCCTTGTGGCGCCGTTGCACCCACGATCTAACCTGCGAACGTCAGTTTCACCGACTTCAGAGCAAACCGTGCTGTCGAGTACTTGCCTTGTGAGGGACGATGTTCTCGAACTCAGCTGAGTGGGAAGAACCGTCTTCCTGCTTTAGATATAGAGACCGCTCGATCTTGGGCCAGCCTGTAGTGCTGAACCAACATGGCTGGGCATGTTCTCGAATGAGATGCTGTGTTGCTGCCTTTTTGCATCCCGGGCAGAGCGTGAAGTTGACACCGGGGCGTCTGAACTTGTCTAGTGGCTGATTGCAAGCCGTCTGTTTGTATGCCTTAGCATCGAATGGTCTACAAGTGGGGGCTGCCTACCTCTGCATCGTTGGTTATTCCCATCGCTATTTTTGAGTGATGTTCGAATGAGAAATTTGTTTGACACGAGTATTATGTTTGGCTTTGGGGCAACATCTAACCCCCAATGAGGCCCTGTTCTAGTTGTGTAACCTTGACCCATGTGTAACATGAACTTCGGGCATCTTCCTCAGGCAGCTCTTAGAAAACTACAATAACCACATCATACTGTCTCCAGTTTCTTCTTCTGAAACATCACGAAAATTCACGATTCAACGAACAAAATGGGCGACCGACGCCCTTTGGAATACAACCTAGATGAACCCCTCGAGGAACTCTCCGAAAGGAGGCGACGGAGCATACAAGAGCACTTAGGCTCCATCAGCGAAGCCGGGACTGCCAGGACTGGCAGTAGTCTAAGAACCGCCGACATCGACTTGGACCGCCTCAGTGAACATGGAAGGCATATCCTGGCAGCGAGAATGAACATGACGAGGAACGACTGGGACAAGAGCGAGTTCTTGGCGAGTAAGTCTTCTTCAGGTCCACAAGAACAGACATCAAATACTGACATAGATACTCTAGGCACTGTCAACGGAGGCTCCGTTACGCACAGCCATAAGGCAAGCCAGGTTGGCTTCGGCAACCTGAGAAGCAGCCCACAGACACAGCGCGCTCCAGCGGTTCCAGCATTGACTACTCGTGTTCAGAAGGTCCCGAGAAACTTGGGTGGTGGTAGGTCTTCAACAGATACACGAGAAAGGAGACAAGACACTAACATGAACACTCTAGGCCCCCTCGCGGGCGGCTTTGCGCCAGCTTCCAAGGCTCCCACCGCGACCGGTGCCTTTGTACCTGCCACTAAGCCGCCCAGTGCGACAAGTGCATTTGCCCCTGCTTCTACTACTCGCATCGGCGGTTTTGCACCCAGTACCTATAAACCCATTGCTACCGGCGCCTTTGTTCCACCTCCTACGGCACCAACTGGCATCAGCAGTTTTGTAGCTCCCCCCAAAGCACCCACTGCGACCGGCGGTCCTGTACCTGGCAGCAGGGCACCTACTGTCATCAGCGCAACAACGACGGTAGTTCGTGATCCGAGTGTGAACCAGGGGCTCACCACGACTATCCCCTCCCCAAAGCGTGTCAGAGATGCCTCGCAGCTTGGGACTGGCTCCTTGGCGCAGACGGAGGAACAGTTTAGGGAGCTCATTGATGAGATGGCGGCACTTCAGCAGAACATGTCTCTTAACGAACAAAAACAGCGGTGGCTGTTTTTTAACCTTCAGAAGCAACGGAAGGGGACTGGCGAGAAATATGACTAGGGAGGATACAGTGATGGCCAGCTCGTAGTTAGCCAGTGAGATTTCGTTTCCACGAGCTGATGTACAAGCGATGTTATATCATATCATGTACACGATAATGGAACTGCGTGCCTGAGATTCCCTATATACCCCATGAGACATCAGTGAAGTCGCGGGGTGGCAGCCTTAGACTTGGGGCTATTCATTTCGGCGTGGACCAAGATAAACAACCAACATACATCCCATTCCTTTGAGACAGCATAACTCTTAGCACCAATGAGCCATTGACCTCCAAAACCGGCCAACCACCGACTCCGAAGCATACCTTTCTACAATTACCTCCCCCAATCAACATCCTTTATCACGCCCTGCCCGCCCTTTTCTCTCTCCTCCTGTACCGCTTATACTTTGCAAAGTTCTCAGGGGTCAGTAGTTCCTCCACATCATGGTCCGTCTGCAGGACATAGCCATCATTTCGCCAACCTTGGAAAGGCTTGAATTCGTCCGAGGCAAAAGATAGTAATTCTTCTTCCTCTTTCCATGCCGCTTGTTCGTGTTGCGAGATGGAGTGGCCCGCGGGGTGAGGTCTGATTCCTTCGCCCTCACGCTGGTTACGACGAACGTCCCAAGGCGGAGCCGCGAATTTACGACGGGGTGATGGTTGTGAGTCTTCGTATAGCTCAAGTATTGGATCGAATTGATCACTTAGAAAAGATTGATCCTCCAAGCCCGGGGGCCAACTCCTCGCATACGCGTGGTGATATTGGGCCTCAGGGCGGTCATGAGGCAAAGGTTCGCTCGAATGAGCCACGTCCGTTCCTGTATCCTGCCATGGGTTGGTTTCCTGCGGGATGGTCACCGTAGGCGCGGATCTTGGCGATGACTAGTCAGATGTTAGAACAGGATCCTCCGCCGCCTGGCTGACTTACAGGGCGCGAGGGGCGTGAGTGGTGAGTGACCAGGTTGACTTTCTCTTCGACAGGGGAATGTTCTTCCTGTGTCCCCTGCTCGCCATGTCAGCCGCAACCAAGTCATAATGAAGCATGGGAGCATACGTCTTCATTAACTGCCATAGCCAACAGATCCAGTGCCATACGAAGAGACGTCCAAGATGAAGCCGAACAGAAATTACTCACGCTATCAAGTCCATCCTCTCTACTCTACTTCTCTACCCACCGGATCTCGCCCTCTTCACACGCTTCCAGAGCAAATATCGGCTGGAGCTTAGCAGCACGAGCTAGGTCTGCAGGTTTGATGCAGTCTTTTTGTGGGTTTTCTCCCTCTGCGTGGTAGTACCGTTGTATTTGTCGCGCGCAAAGCCGCATGTCACCAGCCACCATGTTGTTATCGACTTTCAAGGCGAGTTCATTGAGCGGAGAAGAAGGCTTTTTTTGCGGCTGGGGTCTCGTCATATGTGTGGTAAGTGTCCCCTCTGGGGGGTTATCAACACATGAGAATCGCTGACAGCAAAATCCGCCGATCTGCCACCAAGCTGAATCTCATGTTTTTGGTAACCCTCTGTGCCCTATACCGCGTTTTGAGTCCTACGTAGGGTGGTGCCATATCAGCAGCATTACAGTCTGCCTGCCTGTACAACTCTGTAGTCTGACTGGATGACAAGGGTCTGGTTACACAATTCGGGGGTGACCCCGGGGCTTTCCGTTGTATCTCTTTTAGTCCGAAATCATTGGTTCTGCAGCTTAGGTGTGTCTATGTAGAACGGAGGGCGGATAGTGTATAATCACACAAACTTTGACGAGGGCGTGTTGCACTATGGATGCTGTAGATGCCGTCCTCACGGAGACCATACCTATTCGAGGCAGGCCAACTTCTCAGCTAGCCACTATTGTAACATCTTCAATCTGTTCACCCTCATCACCACTCCACAATAGTTCCAGCCTCCTTCTAGCTTTCCCATCCACACATGTCCTTCAATACGTTCGACCGCCCACGAATCTTCGTCCAAACCTGCCTATCGTATACACCCCGAGTAGAGTCATTCGTCAAAATTCCCGCGGTGCGAATCCAGATCTTTACCTGACGGGTTTCCACCTCAAGATTGCCTTCTATCTTGGCGATTGCGGCGTCCCACGCTTTGGCACCGATGTTCTTGTCTCCTTTCTTGGGCTCATCCATGTCGAGGACACTGTACAGGGACGGAGGGCTGGTGGAGCCTGGCGACTCTTCCCTGATGAGGTCATATACTTCACAGATATCTTCTAGTACTTGTCAGTGCTGGGTTAGAGCATGTGGATGAAAAGTCGGGTACCTATTGCAGTATCGGTTTTTCCGAGCGGACTCCCAACTCCCTGGTATAAATACCCCAAACAAATGGCTAGGACTAGTCCAAAGAGGATCCACAAGATGGTACTGAGGATCGTGCCCAGTAGGTTCATTGTCAGTGTTTTGAAGAATAAATGCTTGAAAAGGATGAAGAACGATATTTGATGGGTTATCACACTGGTATTTATACGTAATTTACTTCGTCACTTCTGACCGAGACAGATTAGTGACTCACTTCTCTCAGCCAGGGTCCTGAAGTGAATTGAGCAAATGATGTGTATGCCCTGGCATTGACCATGGTTCAGGTGAATGTCTTTCCTGTTTTGATGGCTCACAATCTCTACCAGTCTCTCATAAAACCAGGATAAGGAAGAGGACATGTCAACTGTGGCTTGTACTAGTACGGCACCATATGCAAGACTAGACCGCCAACCTCAAAGAGAATATTATTTAGCGCTAGCCATATCCCTCCAGGAGGAAACTGTTTCTCATACATACACTCTGCCCAAAACACCTTGCTATTTATTAAAACAGACTTTTCACCAAGCTGATATCTCCCAGGGACCTCTTACGCTCGGGGGCCTTGGTAACGTGACAACTGGCCAGCCAATCATTCGGCATTAGCTAAGTGATTGGCCTTTGGTCCTCCGGGTTACTAAGAAACATCAACTACTGACTCCAGTCGAGAGGCTCCCACACGACACGCTGAAACCAGGATCGCCAAGATGTCTGGAAGCGGGCTCACCCCAGATGATTATCGCCGATATCAAGAGCACATGAAGCGTAAACAGGAAAGAGAGAGAAGAGCCAGGGCTGAGCAAGAAAAGGCTGAGCAGGAGAGGGCTGAGCAGGAAAGGGCTGCTAAAGAGAGAGCAGACAAAAAGAGAGCAGCCAAAAAGAGAGCAGCTGGGGAGAGAACCGCCAAAGAGAGAGCTGCAGGAGAGCCCGCTACCGTACGTTTTCCCACCACAGTCTGTGTGATACTTGCCAACTCACCGACCAGCAGCCAGTTGATGAACCGGAGAATACCAGTGATGGAGACAACTCCTCCACCCTCTTGAGCCCAAACTATCGAGGCATAGCGAGCGGCTGGATAAAGGTAATCTGGCAATGTCTCATGAACCATAAACTTTCTGTTTTATTTCTAATCGCCACCATCGCCGGTTTGTTGACAAGTATCCCTTGGATGAGGTTCATCCTCAAGTTTCCCCTTCCTGTTCCTGGCGGCAGTCTTGGCAGCTTGTTTATGGTGGCAGTGAAAAAGCTTGGCCTGCCTACACCGACAGAAAGCCCGTCTTGCGTCCGTGATGGGCCAGTCTTCTCTGCCAGTGGCCAGTTCCTTGGCGAAATAGCCAAGTTACTGGACGGGAAAACCTTTGAAGGTGTTGACTTCAACTTCAACGAGACATTGTTGCTCGAAGTCAATCGGGCGGACGATAGGCTTGCAACTGTCACCAGAAGCATTTCCAACCATTCTTACCACGTTTGCCGACACATATCTCGTCTGAGTGAAATCGTCTCCTCCGAGCCCTCATTTTTAGCACCTTTTCTTGAGTTTATTGGGTATGAAAAGTCGAAGGAAACGGTTATAGAGAATGAGACAAAAGGCTTTCTCTCCACCTTGGATCATGGCAACACTACCCGTTCAGAAATGATCAACCAGACCAGAGCTGTCTACGAATCGATCGGAAAACTGCAGAATGAATTCTGTGAGGCAAGTGATAAAGTGCTGAACATCAAAACAGATGTTTCCGAAAAGCTGTCCGCCAAAAAAGCCGCCTTACAAGCCCAGAAGAAGCACACCGCCTTACGGCAATATGTTGCTCGCCGACTTCATGGCATCGATATCGATACTCTGAAGATGGAAAACGTGGCACTACGGCAAAGGCTAGACGAAGCGACGGACTTACGCATCCACCCTGCGTTGGGATGCAACGGGGGTGGGATCTTTAGGTCCAAGATGCGCAAGCTGGAGAAGGCCTTGAAGGGTCATGATAGGTTTTCCAAGGATGCGAAAGCCAAGGCAGAGTGGATCTTGGCAGAGCTACAGAGGGATGGTAACTGGAAGGCTGCCGGAGAGGAACTATCTAAGACTATGAAGGACTATGATGATAAGATAAACGGATTGTACTATGGGATAACCTGATGCGAGACTAGAGAGAATCATAAAGGTGTTGCTTGATGCATGGAAAATAGTGAGAAGAATATGGATGTTTACAGATAAGAAAGAGCTGATATAACTTGAAACGGTGCATAGCATGACGCACTGAGGTTAACCGTGTCATATATGGAATCTAAGGTAAAAAGAGTAATCCAATTTTAACCTCTACGGCTACGTATTACGCTAATATTCATGCTGCCTCTCTTCCTCCATCGAACGACTGAGCATCACACCACACCTTGCCCAGGATCGGCGACACCACCACCTCCACTTCACCCACGCCGGCATCCTGTCATCATCCATCAAAGCCCTCCATCTAAATTCTTCCTTCTCCAGTTTGATCGGGAAATCCGGCTCCATATTCCTCCGTTTGCGCTCGCGACGATACCATTTCAATGCCCTGTCCCTCGTACGTATGATGCGGTGAAGCTTGTTTTGCACCCGAGAAAGCCCAACGGCGACCTCCGAGAGATCCCCTCCAAGTCTCAAGAAATACTTTCTTTTGAGGTCGCTAGAGAGGGTTTTGGCTGCACTTTCTGCGAGCTCTAGTTTACTTACGCTGAGCTTGTACAGATCGGCTATGTGGTTGGCGTGAAAGATGTGTTCCTTTGTCTCGAATGCATTCTTAGTGCTGTGTGTGTTAGGGTATGGAGATGCGTTTCGGTTACGATCAGAACTTACTGGTTGATTCGGTTGAAATACTCTTGGCAAGCTTTGAGAGGCCCGATAATCTGGCTCATTGCCCCCATTAAAGCATGTTTACGGTGTCTGAAATTGTTTATCATCTCGTGAAGTTGGTCCACACGTATAGGTATCACCGTGTCCAAAATGTCGAGACTATCTTCAGAAAGGGCGGCCATCGTGAAGTTGTCTGGATGTCTATCACTGAGAGTCATAAACTTTTCTGTGATCAGCGTGATGTATGTATTGGTAAGGCGTAGTGCCTCCTGTGGCTTGGTTTCTTGCCCTCTGGCAACGGCATGGTCAGGGAGCATAACGAAGTAAAGCCAATTTTCAACGTGTGCATCGTCCCATGCTTTGGTCATGTTCTTTATCTCTTCGTCAGCTGTTCCCGCCGTCTCGGACAACTCTTGACAAATGGCGAGGGCAATTTCAATAGGTCCGCGCGCCTCATTAATGGCAAATTGCGATGGTTGCAGGCCGTTAAACGGATCTAAGCCGCCAGAGATTTGAAGAGGAATGAATGTATAGAGAGGCAACTGAAGAACGGAAAGTGCGAGGCCAGCGTTCTCGGCTATTTCATCCATGAGGTCGACAAAAGGAATGATGTCTTTGGTTGCATCGTACCAATCGAGGCAAACGGGGCTAATAGTCCAAAGAAGCCATCCAAGGAGGAATACAAATATCAAGAGGAAGACCCATCTGTAACAGCCCAGCCCATCTGAGGTGCGATGAAGAAGTCGATCGAGCTGTTCTTTTGTTGGCGGAGGGAGGCGGTCCATTTCCCAGGGAGGGACTGGGTAGCGGCGACGCTTCAAGAAGCACCAGGGGCAGGCGTCCATGTGCTCGGGACTTGGACTCCCATGACTATATTTGCAGTAGTACATTGTCGGCAAAAGATCTATAGATCAAATTGTTGACTTTCAGAGGCGGAGAGGGGAAGTCTGTCGAGTTAGTATTGAAGAGAACAAAGAACTCAACGCACGTGACTTTGCACAGATGGATGTCATAGCACCCAGTTACCAGCCGCCGCACGATCTGCCATCTCCTGAAAGATTGTGAGGCTCTTTGTTCTATTTTCGGAGTCTCTTGTTAATATGACATGAGTTACGTGCTTGGAAACAGCCTAGCAGAGAGACAGCCCACTCCGGTTTGTCTTTGGTGAATTCCGAGACCTTTGCAACTTGACGTAGCCTACAAACAAAGACATGGAGAAGTTTTTGTTCTAAAATTACGAAAGAAACATACCCTACGAAACTCATTATTACGGACTAGTCAATAATACTTGAGATAAAGATGATTGAAAGCGTGCTCTTTGTTGCCCCCCAACCTCGACTGTAGTCTTGACAAGACACGCTACCTCTCTAATACTACAAATCGGTAGATATTGAGGGATCCATTTGCATACTCCCTCAAACGTGGCTATATACCTTCACGCGAAAACAGACCAACAGCCTTCGCATCGCGCAATTCTTGTGCGGCTTCCCAATACTTGTCCCGCCATTCAGTAATTCTCCTGTTCAGGTTACACCTTGCCTCTCTAAGATGTCGTATCTCTTCCTCTTGAGCTTCAACTCTGTTCCACTCCTTCTCGAGCCCCGACAAGTCAGCTCGTCGAGATCCAACAGGGAGAGCAGCCTCATTCCCAGAGGCGATGGCATCTTGCACCAGGCCCTCTGGATTGGAGAACCTGGCGGCCAGGTGCTTTACAATGCGTGATGTTTTCCCTCCGATTTGGCTGCCGATACTGCCGGCTTTGACACTGAACTGCTGCGTTGATTTGATGGCCTCGAAAAAACCAACGTCGGGACGGCCCCTGAGCTCAGAGCATCGAGCTTTGATGTGTCAACGCGTTGATAGCGATGGATACTTCATCGCCGCGACCATCTTCACCAACCCTAGGCCAGATGCCAAGATTCTCCTGGAGGGGATCTTCTGGCCAGTTCTTACTATATAGAAGTTTTATACTGAAGACACAGCACCCTGTTCGGCGAATGACACTGAGTACGGACTTGCAGGTAAGGATAGAAGATGCAAGCAAGGTATGGGCTAATTATACAACGAGTCTGTATTCTGAGCTTTGAGAATTTTGGATGATCTTAAAGCAGGTAATATCAATACTAATGGCGCTATGGGAAGTATCCATACTATGCCATTTGGTGGTTGGAAGCAGAGTGGTTATGGATCAGAGTGTGGATATCAAGGCATCATGGAATATCTTCAGGTCAAGACGACTAACACTCGCTTGTCATGGACGAATTGAACTTTACTATGTTTGTGACTTTTGTATTTAGTATTAGATTAAATTGACTTGATTTCTCAGCCGTCTTTTGTCTCGTAGGAGGCTATCGGAGCACACCTCTTGAGGTTCAATATCTTTGTTCGTGATCCTCTCCTCATCGACCTTAGCCTTTTAGTTGCCCCATTCAACTTACACCGAATTCGATACGCAGCAGGCCACGAGATTCCTTCGGGTCAGCCGCCAACAGGGCAATGATGCCAACTTGTCATTGTCTTCTGACCTCTGAGTTCGATTTCTTATAACAATCGCTGGCTGTAGTCAATTGTGATTTGTCTTAGTATTCAAGTCTCTTCCTCAGCCTCTACAGGTAGGCTTGGAGGCATCTTTACATTGCGTAAAAGCTTTCAGATCTATTCCGGCCAGTCAATGTTAGCTTGTCAGAATATATCACTGTAGCAAATCTCGCAGCATTATAGGGTCAGCTTTCAGCATTTCGACAATCTTTCATATTTCCGATAGATTCGGGATCGCCGCCACAATATTGAGGTCGTTGGAGCACATATATCGGAAGTTCTTTGCAGGATCTGCAGCTGTAGCTTCTTTCATTTGGGCTGCAAAGAATACACAGAAGCACAGAAGCACAGAAGCCATCGGGAAATGGCCAGGAATTTGATTCCGTTGTCGCGTCTTGAGGATGTCAGTTAGATTAATACAAGCTATTTCATGGACATAATATGGAATACCGGGCAATGGACATTTAGACCGAGGAAGAAGCTGTATACAGTTCAATGTGGGAGGATAATACCTGATATTGTGATTCGGGTCTATCTTCAGGTTAGTACCGCACTTGGACAAACAATGCTGGAGACAGCATCTATCTAAAATTGACAAAGGCTATTCCAACGTAGTGTTTTAAGTACAACTTCTGAAAACAACTCCCGATTCGTTATGCAATCAACCCCCTCCTCCTCCCCTGCCCTCCTCCTATTCATCGTCCTCATATGAAACAGGCCGGTTTATAGAAGCCCATTGTTTCTCTGCACTACTTTTAAAGGGCGGGGGAATAAATCCATTAACTCGCCAAAGCTTTCTCTCTGTCTCGTCGACGTGGTACTCGTAGTCATAGCCTTTGTCTGCAAGATGTGGCTTCAATGCCTTCTCAATAGACTCAGTACACCTGTGGTATGCTTCAGCAGTGGCATCCAGGCGCACAGCGATATGGTCTATAGAGATCCGCACAAAGGGCTTGTCAGGAACCTCTCCTCCTTTCCACAATGTGCCAGTTGTCATTGGAACGAAGTTAACAATTGCGTAAAAGGCTGGAAGTCCGACGTTGGTGTAGACGGAGGTAATATCTTTGGCAAGTGCTTGCCGAGATTCGTTATCACGGAATATATCCGGCGTGTGGTAAATCAACCAAAGAGGCATTTTCAGATACTTTAGCTAACTGCTGGAATAGATTTGTAAAAAGTAGTAAGGAGACAATAGAGTATCTCGAATTGAGCTCAAGGTAGTGAATTCAAGGGTTAATGTAAATAACTCCTTCGGAATAAGCAGGTATTTATATAAGCGTTTCTCAATTAATAAGGACTTATTTCTATTACGTATTTTGAAATTGAGATCGACACGACTAACCCAGAAAGATCATTTGTGGATAAATACTTGAATGGGGTAAAAATGCAAGTATGGAGCTGGACGAAAGTTATTCCGTTCATGTAGCCCAATTGAGGTCTAGCGGTCGGACTCGTTCACTAATCTTTCGGAATATGTGACTTTTCTGCTCGGCTTTTATGGTGTTCTGAACAAGTGAACAAGTGAACAGACCAATGAAGACGTGAAGTGACGGAAGCGTTTAATAATCAGAGGCTTTGCAGCATCACAAGGACCAGCAAGACTAAAGCAAGTACACAAAGCGTCGGCGCATTTAGTAAATGGCGATTTTATAATTAGTAATTGAACAACATAAAGTTCAGGCTGTAAACTCGGTGGTAGATAAGCTATTGTATAAGATGTCAGCAGCAGACTATCTGTGTTTATTCACAAACCTCATCCATTGACTTTTCGTCGCCTAATACCTAGCCCAAATGTCGAACAATCTAGTTTTCATCACGGGAGCCACAGGCTTCATCGGGGCGCATGCTACCGCCAAGATCCTCAAGGCGGGATATCTTGTCCGCCTCAGCGTCCGACGAAATGAGCAGATTGAGAAACTCCAGCGCCTTTATAGCGAGTTTACGAGTCAGCTGGAGTTCGTGCTTGTGCCTGACTTTGCGAAACCAGATGCCTTCGTAGAAGCCCTACGTGACGTCAATTTCGTTGTCCATATTGCATCTCCGATGCTGGGACAAGGCTCTGATTTTCAGAAGGATTATATTGACCCAGCTGTTCGAGGCACCTTATCAGTTTTGGATACTGCCAAGTCCCTACCTTCTATCAAGAGAGTCTTGGTTATGTCCTCCATCCTTGCACTAATGCCTCTTGGTGCCTTGCATGGACCACCAACTTCGATTCAAGGTACGTGATAGAAGTTTGAGGTACAAGAAAGTCACCACTAACCTAACTTCTTGCAGAGAACTCTGACAAGACAATTGAGGTAGATGTCAATATGGACATTCCTGACGGCCCGATCGGAAATGCCATTATGTACCAGGGATCAAAAATACTGGCACATGAAAGCACAAAAGACTGGATTACGAAGAATCATCCTAATTTCTCTGTGTTCACCTTCCATCCGACATTTGTTGTTGGTCCCAGCCTTTTCCAGGAACCCTCTGAGCAAGTCAACAGTATCAACAAGTTCTTCATTGACACAGTCCGTACTGGAAACATTATCATACCGCCCATCTTTGTCGATGTGACCGATGTTGCCAATGCTTTGGCTGCGTCTCTGGATGCCCCTATCCCTGACACTCAGGAAATCATTATTACAGGCCAACCTACAACGTGGGCCGACATTGCGGCTGAAGTAGAGTCTCTCTACCCTAACGCGGATTTCAAGCTTAAGCCAACTGTTGAAGAGGGGCCATCGTGGTCAATCTCACCTGTAGCAGCAAATAAATATTTGAAGATTGAATGGAAGTCATTGAGGGAGGTTATTTCGGGTGTTTTGGGCCAGCAGCTTAAGCTTGAAGGTTAAGATTAGTATGTATACATATCAACCATATTGAGAAAAGACGGGTTAGATTAAACATTAATAAGATTCGTCCGTGGCACAGCTGCAGAGTACTATCTACCAACGGCGATGAATTGCGGTCGCGGCAAACATCAAGTGACCCTTCTGGCATTTATCGGAAGAGCAAAGGGTCACCTCCGGCATTAGTCGCGGGAGCAGTAGAGCTGTGGCAAGAGTAGTGTTGTTGATCTGAGGAGCAATCAGGTTACAGGGAGCTGCCCTACACACTCCCGGGGGGAATCCACCACTGTATCAATTCCGTTGGTAGTGACCAAATTACAGGGCGTTTGCCGCTCTAGGCCCGTGTATTGACCCAGAAGCAATTGAGGGCCCTGGACCCAAGGTTGAGATTTCTACGAGATCTGTAGCAGACTTGGCTCCAGGGGCATCCTCAAGCGCGGCTCCAGACTGTGTTTGTATGTTGGGAATAGCTTCATTTCATCCGGATCTGTTTCTTCAGGTGCAGCCGCTTGCTTCTGTGGCTTACGGGGCACCCCCACTGAGCTTATTCTAGCGAGGTCAAGGCCGCTCTGGGTGAGAAAATCACACGCTAAATCTTTAGCGGGAAATCGGTCTCGCCCCACAATGTGCATTTGACCGAAAGAGCAAAGGAGACATCACAACGTTGAGTAGTCGCGGGCACGGGTACTCGATAAATGATGATACAATTATCAGAAGTTTAACTAAAGCTCGGGGGAAGCTGAATTATAGCATGCAGATTCAGAATCCTCAATAACGTCACCCGAAAACTTAGGCATCGGGTTAAACCGCGCTGTCGATTATCCACAAGAGCCACGACAGTACATGAAAAGACACAACATTGAATCTCTAAGGGAAAAAGCACAGCTCTTTATCCACCCTAGTATAATAGTCTGTGCCATTTATGTCAACAAGATGATACTCTCATCTTGTTTCAGACATCTTTCACTCGTAACGCTGTCTAGGGGGACATGCTTTCTCGTCATGGCGATCCTTGGTCTTTTCCACTCAACTCTGAGATCTACCTTATAAGTATCAGTTATTTAAGCATAATAAACAGTCACAAACGGTCTTGTTGAGAAAAGGCAGAGTAAAATCGTGTTTGATTTATCCTGGCATAATGTCCTGTAGTTTATTCCATCCCCATTCCCCAGACGTTCTAATCTCGTTCTTCGCCCCAAAACACCCTAGCTTTACCCAAGAGCCCAATCCCATACCACATCACATCAGATCTTAGCCAATCATCTTGTTAACCAGGTACAAGACAATGGCAAGCATGTAGGCGATCAGGCAAGTCTTCACAACAGTGACCAAGAGTGTGAGAGTACCCTTCACAGTTGCCACCACAAATCGACCAACGAGAACGATTATGACCAATGAGATGAAGAGCCCTACGAAGTTTTGCGGAAGGAGCTCAGAAACGTGTTGTTCGGAGGCCTTAAATGCCTCAGACCAGTCGATTTCTTCGCAGAGTTGCTGGACGGAAAAAAAGAGATGATCAAGGGCCGATTTAATGGTCTCGTAAGGGGACGCTATTCTTGTAAGATATCGTCACGGGAATAAAGTGTGCACTTACCAGTGAGGTCTAGTGGAAACATGGTGAGCGATGGTGTTTGAGTGTGTGTGCTATGAGCTGGCCGTGTCAGTTGCAGTCGAGACTTGTGACTGAGAGCTTATGATTACCAGATAAGTTGTGGGCTTGTGAGGTTACTTTCCTGTTGCAGTATGTGTTGGGTATTTGTTTGAAGAAAGTAGAGAAGCGTTATGTAAAGAGTCAGTCTCCCGTTATATACCTCTGACAAGCCGATTTGCAAGTAGTGACTAAGCTGAAACGCTGCTTTATTTATGTCAAAGAACAGTGAACGATCAGTTTGTTTAGTATGGCCCTTTCTTCTGGCTGAAATGTTTGTACTCTTTCATGTAGCTGTTGCTCAGCTAATCCGATGCCGGGACAGACCCACCCCGAAAGTGCCGTCAAGATCCGGTGCCGAAGCGGAGCCAAACCCCGGAACGGCTCAAGATACACACTCGCAATAACTATACGTTATTTGCACCATTCGGCCTTCCATCAATAGTTTTAAATCTGCTTCATACCGCAGAAATTGAAGCTGATGTATGGAGTCAAGATACCGGCTCAGCATAAGCTGTCAGGTCAATTGGGGTCACACCGGAAGAATATCTCCCGCCTTCAACAAAGACTTCATTTCTAACGCTGCATTAGTGCTCTGCAGCCTTCCATACCGCCTATTGGCTCATGCGTTGTAGCAAAAACTCTACTCTCTATGCCATCATCGTGTTCTCCGCACCATACGTCTCCATTCTGTTCAGTGGCCATTCTTGCTCGTCTTCGTCTCTAGCTCCCATCACAGCATCTCACATCATAAGACCACAATTTCTGGTCCTACACAGGTCTTCATACGATTCAATAGCCAATCTCGCTCAATCCGCCGTCACTTCTCAAAGCACAACATCCACTGTCTCTACTTCTATCTGCTACTGAGCATCAGGCATCATGGGAAGACTAGTGGGAGTAAGCCGTCACGATGTGCCCAGATCTCCGAACCAAATGCTGACTGAACTTCGCGCAGGAAGGATCACAGATCAAGTTCAATGGTAAGCTCCTTTCGGAGCTGGCCACCAAGACATCGCAACGAATGCATTGGCTCCCTCAAGATCGCGTGGCCATGAAGCAATGGCTTCGCGCTAATCATACAACGGCGTTTCTCGAGGATACCGGCGACGCAAGTCTTGATCAGCTGGCGCTCACAATTGGTCTTGACTTTCGAAGGCTGGATAAAGATCAGAAAAGAGTTGCTAAGGCGAAAATGTGCAGCTCCCTTAAGTATACTCTCAACAAGCTCAAGATGTCGGGAGAGGTCAACGAGAGATGGGATCCTGAAGGTAAACGGGTTATCCTCGATTGGACACACAGTGCAGGACGTCATCTACGGGGACTACACGATAGTGAAATCAACTCTCTTTACCCAGTACCTCCGGCCCATCACGCTACACCTCGAACATTGACTTTCGACGATCATCAATGTCGAGCTCCGGAGACTGATAATACACTCTCATCGAAACAGATGTCTCGGATATACCCCACAGTACCGCCTTATTCCGGGCGGATGACGCCTCTTGAACGCGAGTTGGAACAGGCACCTGAAGAGTTCTACCGCCAAAAGGATCATGATGATCAGCCACCCCCGTATACGGTCCACGCGAACTTTGTCGAAACAGATCTGCAGCGGGCAACAGAAGAGTTCTTTCGCCAGAAGGCCCACCTCGATCAGTTTGAGGATCTCATAAGCAAAATATACAAGACAAAAGCCCAGGATGCTCTCGCTCAACAGGCATCGGCGGTATCGCGTACGCAAAGACACAGTCAGCGAGAGGTGGAGATACCAATGCGTTATGGGCAGACTGCGAGAATGGAGGCACGAACCATTGATCGGACAATGGCTAGGGGAGATAATCAGATCAACTTTGAGATACGCAAGACTTCGTCTTGGCCTTTGACGCCCGAGATGACCGAGCGTAAAAGTCCAGCCCTACGCGAGTCTGACTCAACGAGGGCCCACAGACAGTTCGTCAATGGTCTCAGAAGAGGCTGCCAGCCAAAGCCCGCGGCCACGACTACTCATCACACAACACCAGCACTGGACGAGGTTGTCTGTACAAGAGCTGATGGAGACTTCCAGCAGAGGCTGGCTAACGCCTCTGTCCCGGATACGTTGCTTGTTCCACGACGATCTGATCAAGATCACGGAGCGCTCTGGCAGCGATCTCGCTCAGACAACAAATTTCTCCAACGACAATCTCGATCAGATCGCAAGGTCGTTCAGCGACAGCCTCGGGTCATTATACTCAAGGAACCAAGTTCAGGATATCTCCATCCTGATTTAGTGCGTGGAATCGAGTGGCCGTATGCAATGCGGTTGTGTGCCGGGCTTCTTGTTGTACTGTTGCTTAGTTACTTTTATTTTTGATGCTTGAGATGGGTTTATTACTTACGCACCAAGGAATATTTGTACAGGCGTTTTGCCGTGGAATTTGATCGATTGCGGTCGAAGTTGTCATGCATGTTTAGCAGATGTGAGATAGGAACAGACCGACCCGTACCTTCTGGGACACACTTGAGGTATGATTACTTGCGTTAAATAAGATTTATCTCCTTCTATCCTCATAAATGTATTCGTTCTCTTGTGGAAAGACCCTGGAGAAAAGCTGATGAGCTTGCCCGAATTTCAGTTTGCAGAGGGAACAGAGCTATCAGCGATGCACCTCAATGACGAAAACAGAGACGTACCCTTACCGCATACTCTTTATACTTAACAGCGACATCCTCTTCTGTAAAGAATTTTACTCGCCTCCCGCGAGCCGAAGTGACAAAGTTTGCTCCTGCGGCAAGTTTTCAGGGCCTTCAGAGCTGGTGCTGCATGTTCCCGTTGCAAGCAGTGGCCTCCACAGGCAGAGCAAGCAAATACACAGCGCTTGCTCCCAGGCTGCAACGACTCCTCTGACAGATGCCTCTGCCTCTTTCGGTCAAAATGCCCTCTCTTCTGACAACTTTGTGCACAGCTATCCGACCACAGCAGTCCTAGCTTTGAAGTCTGCACGACAGGAATAACAGATCATCTTCCATATCAGACAAACTCAGCCCTACCGGTGTCTCAAACAGCCTTGGGTCCCCATTCGAGATCCCTGTCCTTTGGCGAGCCTGTTGCGCCCACGTCTATCGGGACTTCTGCAACGAGGAAGAATCATGAGCTCACGCCGACAAGATATGCAAACACATCACCAGCTCTACTGCAGATTTCACTTGCCAAATGAGCCAATTCTCTGTTCTTAAACAGTAATGTTTATTCATGTGCGCCAGGTGACTCTTGAATGTTCTACTACATACTAACGCTCAGTGCAGTCTTATCATGTCACCCGGCAAGAAGCGATGCGAAACATGCAACAAGTACTTCAATTCTCTTTCATGGTTCAAACATGCTCAGAAATGTCGGAGATGCAATAGATGCAACGTCTTTTGCAGTACCAACGAGACCTTGTTCGACAGCCATCAAGCGCTCTGTGGCAGAGATCACGGAAGGGGGGTACATCCCTGCCGAAACTGCGGGCAAACGTTCAAAAGAAGAGGCAATCGTGACAGACACGAGACTATATGTGTACGCTGTGAGGATTGCGGTCAGTGGATGACGTCCGGCCCGGCGTGTAGGGCAAATCACCGCATCAACTGCCGGCCTAGGCTTCAACGGCAAAGTCCACAGCCGCAGCCTCTCAGTCAACCTGAGATCCAAACCCAATGCCAGCAGCAAAAGGACTCTGTATTTGCACCTACAGTGCCGTCATCGACTGACGAGCTCATTCAGTTTTACAGATCGAAGGCTGAGAGTGCTATTTCACGTATGATGACAATGATCGATGCCAGAAAGGGTGCAGAATCCGGCAGCCGCGAAAGCGAGGATTACCAGAGCCTGCATAAGTATTGCAATGGAGTTAGTATTGGACAAACCCTGTCTGCTTCAGAATATCTCGACCTCGATCGAGACGCTAAACCTCAGGATAGTATAATTGTATGTACTATGGCTGAGGCAGCTAATATCTTCAACAGAGGACCGCCCAATATACCAGTTCTTATCGTTGGGACACCTAACCCTCGGCGACTCAAGATCGACACCTTTCTCGCCTGGTTGACATGTCGAGATACATTACACGTTCATGACTTCAGCCGCCCATCCAAAATGGGACGTTCTCCGATTTCTCTGCCCTCCAAAGACGCCAAGACACTGTTTGAAACGCGCGATAAGATGTCTGGCCCAGCTCTCAATTTCCTCAATCTCAGAGGGACAAAAGACCATGCCGGGCCAGAGTGTATTACGAACATGTACGACTATAAGTGCATTGAACTCTCTTCAACAGACAACGGGAAGATTGAGACTGAGGTTCTTGTTGGGGATCTTGACGACTCAACTCGGTTTCAGCTATTGGCATCAACTGGAGCTATTCACTTGCCTCATATTGACAGGCACGGGGTGTTCACGACTGTGTTGAACGAACAAGGGGAGAAGATCTGGTTGGCCTGGCCCAATCTGGGATTGAAAGTGTTGAGGAAGTGGGATGAAGAGGACGAACTGCCGACTCCCCCTATCGCCATCCATATCGAAGAGGGCTCCTATCTGATCCAACCTCCAAACACGCTCCACGCCCCTGTGACCATGAAGACGTGTCTGATGACAGGCACTATGCACTGGTACTCGGGCCACCTACTTGATATCATCCAGGCTACCTGTGTACTAAAGGAGGATGCCAATATCACGAATGAGGATATGTCGGATCAGTTCATCCCAAAGATGGCCAAGCTGCTTGGGCTGTGGAGGGAGAATCAGGCGCCCTGCTCGTGGCCTCCACTCGATCAATACTCAGAGGCTATAGCCGCATTTGACGTAAGTCTTGATGCTGTAATGGTCACGATGCCTTGCTAATGATGATTAGACTCTTCGAGAAGGGTGCAGTTGCAAGGCCAAAAACGCCCTCTGCGCAGCCAGGTCGTCGTGCCAATGCAGAAAGTTAGGGTTACCTTGTTTCGCAAAGTATCATGTCAGCCGAGGCGATTGCGAAAATCTGAGTGAGTAGGCTGGCGATGCTGGAAAGACTTGGGTTTGGCGATCGAGGGTGTAAGAGCACGGCCGGGATACGAGTCTTTCTTGCGTGTGAGCGTCCTTGCCAGGTACTCCCGGGATGAACAAACGAGAGGTGAAAATTTGAGAAGGTGCGGGATTGTAAATGTAAAAAAGGCAGAATATAGAGGAGGGACATCTTCAAATATAGGAACACGGCAATTGTCAACTATCTTGACGCCGGGGGCTATCATGTCAAGAGAATCCTACCTCTCAAATCGTGGACTTGTTAACGGCGGATGGCGCATGCAAGCAGCCAAAACCAACTAATAGTGAAATATTATCAGCATCCCTAAAATACTCATTGTCCAAAGTCGAGATGACTTGTTCGAACTTGGCACCTTGGTCATGCTCTTCGTGGGGGTTGACGAATCTCGTTTTTGGACGGCGAAGACAAAAACGGTTTGTGGTGAAATGATGCTCTGAATAGACTAAAGCTTAAAACCCCACGGTTTTACTAAAATAGCTTGCAATTTATCCACGGAGCAGCTGCATAAATAATGCGTAAGAGCAGTCTAGTAATAAGAGGAATATCTCCCTGGCCTGATCTAAGGAAATATTATGTACAAGATTCCAGGACTTGTTGTAGAATCTACCCTACACGGCCCGGCATGCAACGGGGTCGCTGAGCTCGATAAGGAATGAAAATATGGGGCGGGGTATTTATCGCAGGAGCAGGGTTTTTGACTGGAAAAGCAGTAAAATTACAGGGCATTTCTCGCAAGAGTATCCCACCGACTTAGGGGGTCGTTGTCGCACGAGCAGGGCGATTAATCGGGACAGCAATTAGGCTCAGCATCCATCGGGATACGAAACAAAAAAAAAAAACAGTGCCGCCCCTTTTGGCTCAGCCGCAACAAATAGCGACAAAGCTCAAAAGACCGCTCCGGGAGTAGTTTGATCACATCAAACTACCGGAGGAAACTTATCTTGACGGCAACAATCATTGACCACGAAGTCGTTGATCTGAAAATGACCCATACTTTGAGATTCTTTCCACAATACACGCTTTGTCAGCTGAATGCCGGTTCCATTTCGCGGCAATGAAGCTATCGCGATAGCATTAAATGATCTCAAGTGCGGGGAGTATGGTGTTGAGGGGTCCTCTTTTTCTACGGAGAAACGCTGGCTACCTTAGGCAGAGGTCAGGGTTCGAATCCATGTTGCTCAAGCCACTTGTACCTCTTTTGCCCCCCCCCAACACCGCATCAACCATGCTGAGTTGCCAGAAGCACAGGATCAGCAACCATACAATCGAATCCAAGATTGCATAAAAATTGCCTTTGGACATAATTGAGGAACTTGTTCTTACCCCGCGACCTACAGTTCTTGGTATGGTGCATGCTATCAGCAATTGTCAAGCCCTTCCTGGAGGTCACCCTGGCGTAACAAACAACGGAGGAAGTAGCACATATACATAATGACAGCACTCGATTAATTCGTGCTCGACAGCTATTGCCTCTTCCCCAACCCCATGAGTCAAGTCTAGCTGGCATCTACATTACTTTACTTCAGCCTAGACCATCACCCATTGTCTGCGAGCCCGGGAGACTCGAACCTGCTCCGGTGTGTGGGTTCGCAATGAGGTAATCGCTTTGTGGTATTGTAAGGCTCCGCAGTCTGCGTGTCTTCAAGGCCGGCTTTTGTTACTTCCGCGTTAACTGATTTTCGAAAGACATGGAATTGACGTCGAAAGTTGACTTATGCCGAGAAATGGCATACACCTTGGCTATCAAAATGCCAAAGGTACTGTAGAACTTCGTTGTGGACTGCTGAAGCGCTAGATCGACAGAATGCCATTTCTGCAAATTGCGGCTGGCGAGGAGGCATAGCAAGAACAGAAATTGGAACAAGGGATTGGACAACAGACCCAAGTCGCACTGCCTCACTCAACGTACATTATACGGTAAAAGAGCTCAGCACATGCCCCTGTTGTCAATAGGTTCCACAGATCTATCGTCAATGTACCCTGGAATATGGAAGACACTCCACACCACCCCTCGACGCGGACGGCAAGGGACCAATGGTCTTACACGATTCAATCCCTAGATCACCATGGTGGCGCATGTAACACCCACTCACTGCACTACTTTCAACCAGTGGCGCACTTATGTTGAGCTACCATTCCGAATTGACTATCATGGCCCAGCATAGCAATGGCTAATAGAGGAAGCTCTCCGAGTAGATCGATGGGTTTCTGGACTTATCTAACATGAAAACATGCCGATACAAAGAGGTTCTGTAGTGCAGCATCCAGTTCATGGCAAGGTCTACGGGGTTGAAACAAGAATGCTAAGTAGAACCCGAAACTATTTGTTGCCAATATTCATGTGGTTGAAGACGGCCTGACTCTTATTATCTCCACCTAATCGGTCAACAATCTTCTGATACGCATGAAAATTCCATGGGTCAAGTATTCGTTCCAGCTTGGAATAGTGTAACTGGCCCCAACGTCAGTATTCCCTTACCTCAGTTTGAAGAATCTTTCCCTTGACATCTCCGTCAAATTTGACCTACATTATTGAGAAGACCTGAGTTAAATAAACACCTTATCCCGGTATTCGCTGTACGTTCTTATGAGCTTATCAGTGGAGGACATATGCGCTGGTTAGACGAGAGACATCCTTCAACCTCGTTTCAACATGATCTTCACCCATATAAGAGGTCAATATCCCCACGGATTATAGTGACTAGACAGTAACGCAGCGCAATTCTATTGGTAAGACAAGTGATCAAAGTTGGGACAACTTGCGTTAGCGAGGTTCAGCTCGGAAGAAACCGACCCATAGGGATCCTGTACTTATAGGCACTTCTGGCGCAATAATAGAATGCCCTGAGATGTTGTGATTTCTTGAGCGTTATAGTTAAGTATAGTTTTAGTAACTACGTTCGATAGTGAGCAAGAATTCCTTACTCGAGGAGTGATCGAATGTAACACCACATACACTATAAAGGAAGCTACTTCCTGGCTTGAGCTGAGTATGAGAGCCCTGAGAGGCTATGTAGTCTGATAAATGGTGCTTTCACCCATGAAAGAGATTTTAGAACGCTGGGGTAGTTGACTTGATCAAGGTAACCGTCCTGCTGGTGACCCCGATGCTGGATCTCAACTCCGCTCATATCTCCCGAAAGCCATGCCCGATGTCTAGTTGTACTATAGTCTAGTAGCAGTCTCATTGTTGAATCATTCACCGGACGACTAAATTGACTTCCTCTCGCTTCCTGACATCTTTGTCATTCCGAATGTCGCTTATTACAGCTCCAAGTCGATCTGTTCGCAATCTTTCGTCACTGTGAAAGCGACCGTAGATTCCGATCTAACACCTACTGGTAAGATTGTGTCCTCTGTCAGTGGTGTAGCGGCGACAACCAATACATTTGAGAACACAGTCCAGGGCGCTAATACGGGATGTGAATTCATCAGCCTCCGCTAATTATTGGGCATTCTCTGGTCCGTGACCCTGGAAGCCATCACCAAGATGCAATTTGTTTGTATCTCAAGACCGAGGAGTCAGCGAGACCTTTTCTTCTTTTTCGGCAGTAACTAGATCATTGGCAAGTCCACGTTATGCCTTATCGATGAGGTCCGAACCAATGCCGCCTTACAGACATTGGCACAACTAGACCTTAGAGATTCCTCGCAATCAAAGATGTTCAGAGTTACGGATTTATGGCAATGGCCAAACGGAAAGATTACTTTGCTACTAGCGCGACCATACCCTGAAAAAGCATCTGGAAATGTCAAAGCGCGATATACCAAGTTCTATCTGTCTGATCAACCGCGATGGGATGGTCACTACTGACAGGCCTGGTCTCGCGTTCCCGCACCCAGCTGATTGGTTCGAAGCAAGTAAAAGCTTAATAATCTTTGCATTGTGAACAATGAGAGGCCAATGGTTGCTTAGGCTGGTTCTGCACCTCTCATATTGGAGACGGTGCATTCGTGGTGTTTTGGTGTCTTCAACATGAATGCCTGCCACGCTGAATTCCCAGGGACGGCCCTTGAACGGCGAAGCAAACACCACTATTACTGAATTGCCTATAAAATATAACTGTTATGTAGCCACTTCTCGAGGAAGTCTGAATACTGGGGATATGCCTATCAGTTTGACCAAGGATCTGAAGCATACAGAAGCTACTCGCTCCACAACTGGGTTTATATATAACAGATACGAACAACAGACAAACAGATCTATTTGTACAGCTTCTGCATTCAGGGACATCTCCGTTCAAACGTGTAGAAGGCAGTGTAAAGGAAGTGCGTGGTCCACTGTCCTCCGTAAGCGACAGGTCGCCGCCAACCATCGGCGAATGCATATACAAGTCCCACGCATAACTCCCGGGAATCGCCTATCCCAGATTTAACGCATGGTACTCAAGTGATGATTAGCCTGAAACGTTAGTTAAGGAATCGAGGGGCGAAATGGAATGTGAAGCAGCTCTCGTTTTCGACACAAGCATCAAGAGCTCGATGCTGGGTGCCGTTGGAGCGAGTCGCTGGTGGTCATCCCTTCTCTGATCCGCGTCTTCAAGAGCCGTGACGTTTAGGGTGCGCTCAACACTCACAAGATAGACCTGCTGTGGTGAAAGACAAGCAGGCTATTCTGTAATACAAGCTTCGACAGTAAAGAAGGTGCTGCAGCGGCAAGATGCGCACGTCCAGCTACGATTCAACGCAGTGTTTGTGGGATGATAAGGATCATCTCATCGCATATAGCATGAAGCTTACTTTATCTGCCCTGAAGGACTTGGAGGTCTACTTATATGCACGTGCTGGGCGTTAAGATACTGAATGGCAACCTCACGCCTTTCTCGTGAACATCTAGGTGAACGTTTCACACCATCGAGCTTCTGTCAGCAGTCTAGCACAGAGTTGCAGTATTTGATGCTCCAAACGATCACCTGCTCTTTATAACCACAGATCAGACCAACGTACCACAATACCTGCAAGAACTGCCACCTATTTGGCGACGGTGCCGCCTGCTCTCCAATCCTCATCAATTCCCAGAGCCGCTAAGACGACTGACAATATATATAGACTAAAGAATACCAATCTTTCCTCCAGCGCAGTAAAAGAATCAGCCACGTAAGTAAGTTCCTCCCAGCAACAGCCAATACTTCACGGCGGGAACCAACCAGCCGTGGTCCAGAAACCCATCAGCCAAAAAGGTACATACCACAAACCTGTAAGTTTTGACTAGCGGAACCAATAGACACCTGACAAGTGCAAAGAAGCAAGTCGTGCCCGTTGACTCATTGTGCAAGCATCTGGGCATCTCAACATGGTTCAAGAGGCGGTAAAAAATAGCATTTTTACGAGGCGCAGGAAACAGATTCTAGCACTCGCTTCAGCCATACGTGGTATGCCCGGGAGGAACTAACAGCGATATCAAAGTGCAGGCCATGAGCCTCTTTGAGAGAGACACATGACAGAAGGTTATAGCTTCTTAATCTTCGGGCCATTTGCTGTGATAGGCTCGTGGCCTGAGATTCTATCATGATGTATCGGACAGAGATTACGCCGCTGGCACTTCGCGGTCTGGGGTGCTAATTTTGTTTACAAATGAAGCTAAAGATTTGTGAAGACTTGTTTTCTCTTACTAAGTTAGCCGTTGTAGTAGGAGCCGTGTGTTGAACGAAGAAGTAAATAACTTACAGGGAATGTCTACTGACAGGACGGAACCCCGCCTCCAATGGCAGCGCTAAAAAGAGTAGCAGCCCACTGTAGCCTGAGTGCATAACCCAAGGTCGCTATCTTTCTCAAATGTTGCATCGGCACTGAGCTAACGAACATGTCTGTCATTTATTCTAGCTTCACATCGCAGAACCGCTAAACGGCCAATGGCAACAAGTGTCGGAAATCGAAAGTAGCCCGGCTACCAAATGGTAGCTCAAGTGATCCTTGGAAACAGGCACGCTACTATCTAGCCGTGTCCCACCTGAGTACAACAATTCTATCCTTTTGACCACATTGAATCACACCACGACCAATAATGTGTCATTACTCTTGCTTCAGGATAGTTGATCAGTCAGTCGCATGTCTTGGGGCTCCCGGTCTGACTACTCCAGCAAATCCTCAACACCATGCGCCGGGGCCCCTCCATGCACAATATTGCCTTCTTCCCCTTCTCGCAAGCCGCGAATACCTCCTTGATTGTTCTAAATTGTGCCGCTCGCGCTGCTTCGTTATGTCCATTGATCCGGATATTCACCTTTTCACGACTGGCTTTGGCTTTTACAGGCTAGACGTTGTTTCCTCCTCTCTTTCCTTGAGTCCTTCAAGAAACAACCAGTCGCCTGAACACTGAGACTGTTTTTGTGGATATTGCGATTTATATTCGAGACTTTCTCGAGGCTCTTTGACTTAGACTGTGGTGTTATGACGAGTAGCAAGTTCAGCGCTCTTCCTGAGCATGCTCTTGGAAGGCAGATGGCTTCAGCATGCCAGAGCAGAGCGCTCCATCGCCAAGCGTGAATACTTACCGTTTCTTGTACTCCGGAAGAGGTGCCTTTCAAGTTCGTCCTCCGCCGCTTCCTTCACCATCGCCCTCCAATTTATTTCGCAGGTCCAGCTTGTATTCCTCGTTCAATTTGAGGTTGGCGTAGCTGTTTTGATCCACACCCTCAGTCACTCGTGGACAATGCTCTCTGATGATGTTGTTTATGTCTGGGCAAGGTGGTCTTACTTTTTGGGCTTTGGCGTTCTTCTTCTTGGAAGACGCCTATTCCATAATATCCATGGGTCTCTGGGAAGAGGGTTTCTCATAGCTGCGGTGACGAATATGGATGTGCTCACAACTCTAAGACGGGGTAATCCCCGTTCCTCAGGATTCGGTCTCAGTCCCTCAGCCAGTTCGTTCAATGAGAAGTGATGCAAGACGTGAGCTTGTAGACATTATCCCCTGCCGCGATGCCAGGGGTTCGGCTACTTTGACACCTCGTTCGGATGAAACATGTTCCCTTACTCCCATGGCCTGGAGCTGGATGGCGTGCGAATTCGTTTCGCGATGCATTGGACACTTGGAGTTAATATATTGTTGTATGGCAATAGGACTGGGCAGCTGCTGAGCTCTGAGGTCGGTCCTATGGCTCTGAAGCGATGAGAGGGTATAACAGCGGACCATGGCATGTACGAGCTGAGTGATATCGAGCGACCTGTATAGAAGTGGAAAGGACTTTTAAAAGACGAAGTGGCAGAAAGTTCCGATCACACCAGAAGTGATGTTGTAAGTTTAAGCCGAGCGGTGAAACGGCAGACCAGGGCGGCCATCTTGAGTGAGAATGAAGGGCTCTACCCAACTCTTTTCCTGGTAGGTTGAAAAGGGATAATGTCAATTCGAAAGACATGTCATATCAGGCCATTCACCCCCCGCTCCTCAATCTTGGAGACCTTCAAGAACTTGTACCTTCTCATATACTCCAATGGCTTTCGTTTCAAGAGTTAATGAGTCTGTGTTAATTCCTACAGCGTGGCGATGAAGTTACTAGATCTGAGCCAGTACTCTTGCTTTCAGACCTAGAGGACCACGACAAACCTTTTCCAACGTGTCTTGCTACTATTGACGAAGTAACGGAGGATGCATGGCGGTAGTTGCATGTCAAGATACCGGATCATGAGGTCGAGGATAAGGGATAGCAACGGTTTCTCGTTTCATTGACCATAATACTAAACTTGACGAGGCCAAGATAAAGCAGGATTTGTGAGACCATAACACGTCTTGTCCCAGAGCCCTGTGATACGTTTTCGCGAGAGTTCCTGGCGGCAGACACTTCAGCGGATCTCAATTATCGTGTCGATAATCGATCTGACGCCCCTGACAAGCTATCTACTCTCAAATATCTCAGAATAGCAGCGCGCCCGCTAGTAAAACCGCATGATCAGACAGCTTCTCGCTGACAACACCCCTATTCTGGCTAAGAGAAGCTACGACGAAATGACCAATACACCATCTCAACTCATTCCAAAAGACTACCCCCTGGCTCGTTCTCAGAATGGAGGACCAGGGGCCAAGTACATGATAGGTTCCTCAAAGGAGACTCAAGATTCACCGTAAGAACTGTGCATTGTCCTCAGGTTGAAGTACTATAGACTTCCTAATCACTTACCTTTCTCTAATAACTGCCTCATAATCTTCGGCTCTCTTTCGCGGAAGCGGACGGGCCAGATCGGAGGTAGCAAGACACCTTCTTGAGTACTCGCCTGGCGATTCCTGTCCTGTCAAGTGTGTGTAGGTAAAGCTGGGCCCTAAAAAGACTCACTTCAGTCTAGGGTCGAGCAGTATCCATAGCTTTACTGTTGTTCTCGAGGCCCCTTATTGGAACGCGGCTTCGAATTGGCTTAGAAGGCTGATACAACGTGGAGGCGTATCACTGCAGCCATGACTGTTCACGGTAGGGTTCTCGGTGGCATCGCGAGACAGGAAACGGCCTCGAGGATTCAGAACCAGGTTATTCCTTGAGTCATTGCCCCTATATGATCGGAGCGGCTATCTAGACTCGCGAGGATGCTCATCAAACTCTTCATCTTGACTGTCCTCAACGAAATACGATATCCGTCTGTGTCTGTAGTGCATGGCTACGTAGGCTCTCGCGATATGGCTGACTTGGACTGCCACAACCTCTGATGACGGACATGTAGATCTTTCATCTCGCTGGAGACCTCATCCGACGAGGCGGAATCGGATGAGGTTGGAGAATTGCAGTTCTTACCAGCCTGCAACCGCCTGCGAGCAATTTCATCAATGTCTGCAGCAAAGAGAATGATGATGTGAAGGATTCCCACCGAAACCTGTGACATTTATCGCCTGGGACCAGAACCCCTCCGAAGATGAAGGTGCTTCTCGCATCGTGGCATCATTGTTGCCGAACAAACGCAATCGGCCTGGAATTTACTCCGCTCGATGCTGAACCATTGGTAATGTCTTATTACCTTCCTCCCATACTCGCTAGGCGGTATAGAAAATGTATCATCGCACTTCAACCTTCATTATGGTACCACCTCACGTACTACCTCACCGCTTGACTTGTATGAACTGGTTACGTGAAGCCGATGCCCCTAAGGGCAGCATGAAGCAATGGGGATTGCCGTTTCTTGCTGCGAGTCTCCAGTGAATAGTAGCAGATGAATCAGCCTGAAAGCTCAAAGGTCTCACCAGTCCCTTCTCCTTTTCGTTTTGCGGTAGATCGCGCAGGAAGAACTTACGCATTATTCCCCGTAATCGACAAGCTTCCCAAGTTCATAATTAACATCAGCGAGAAAGTGCTGACTGTTAAGAGGGGTAACATGACGGTCAAAATAAGTCTCGCGTATCAATTCCGTGTCCTCCATCATAAACGCATCAACACGCTGCCGTTTCCGTTCTCTGGCATCGATACCCCCATCTTGGTGATACTCCGAGGTATCTTGAGTGGTTCGCTTTCTCTTGGACGGGTCCCCATATGTATCCGGCCCTGGCGTTACGGGGAGATCAGATCGTGCTGTGAAAGGAGAATTCGTCCCGGACGTAGCTGTCCTGGACGTCAGTGTCGTCGTCAGTTCGGGAAGAATCATATTGGCGGCCATATTTTCGATACAACACATCTCGTAATGGTGTGCAAGAGCAGCACGGTCCACATATTGAGGGATATTAGCTATACATCCGTGGTAATCCAATATCGCATCGTATGGAACAAAGGCTCGTATGCGAAACGTCTCGGGATGGATCGAAAACAACCGCGCATCGAAACTCATGGATGTGACTCATCATGAGAATGCCGTTAGCGGGCGCCCAAGTCGACAACCACGCCTCGTGCAGTCGTCGACTACTCAACTCCAAGTCTTGACCATTGGAAGAATCGGGATACACATGAAACTGCTGCTGCGGAACAATATGACAGGCTTGCAGCGATGGTCCGATAGCTGGACTGATGCACCAAGATTGCCCTTTCCCCGTCACGGCACAACGCTTCGCAGAGACCATAACCGACGAGCGAAACGAGTCCATGACTTTTTGCGCGTACGTTCGATTGATGTCCTCCGTTACAGGGATGATCATGTCGCTGACGTGCTGTGTTTCTTCTCCGTCCTTGTCCGGCGAAACAGAGCCTGATTGTTCCCGTTTTGGGGATTGAGAGCCGGTTCGGGGTTTCGCTCTCTTCCGGAAGGGCATTTTCGCAACGCGTGGGTCTTCAGAAGCTTTCTTGGGTGCAAGGTAGCGGGGGTCATGACGACGTTCGGGGCGGGGGATGTGTGTTGCGCATGAAGCTGTGACAGACAGATTAGTATGGAGTGTGATAAAGGGGTCTTGAGGGATAAAGAACTGACCTTTCAAGTGAGCTTCTAATGGTGAGTCCTTAGGTAGGTCGCATTGTCCATGACGCACGACATGGTACCGCACAATTGCTCGTTCCTGTGCATCAGGACTCAGCAAGCTCGGTACCACCGTATCAAGCTCCTCCTCCTTAACAAAAACCGCACCATGTACATCATTTCGGTTCCTTTTATCTAGTCCAAACGCGACGCCATTCCAAGAATCTTCCTCCTTGGTCGAGCCGGGAAGTTCAAAGCAGAGGCACAGCTCATCAACAATGTCGCGAAACGTCAGAAATGCGTTGTCATGGTGCTGATAAACACCAGCGAAGTGGACCGCCCTTGATGTAGCGACAAAATGCGTGTTCCAGCCGTAGGAACGCATGCGCGGTGTGACTGTGGTATTGGACATGATGAGGTTGGAGTTCGTGATTGTTGTTGCGGCATCTTTCGGTATTTAGAGTGCTAGGCTGGATTCAGGCTTATCGATAACACATGGTTGGCTCAGCGATGTTGCTGAGTCAGCTACTTTGGACCAGTCCTTAGGCGTCACAGTATTAGTGCTGTAGCCGCTACATTGGTGTAATCTAGGAAGCGGGTGGTGCTTGTTGTTATCTTGATGCAAGGCGCAGATATTGAGTGCGCCGAACTTTGAAGAGGCTGTCTCCAATATAGCCTCCACCGAGGCATTGGGAGCCCCCGATCCAACCGAGCCGAGTTCAGTAGGCCGAGGCCGAGATTGACCAAGCCTCCGTCCCTAACGGTGTAATCTAAACCACGAGCGGGCTTCCGGGGTGTCCGAGAAAGTGGTCCGCCTCTTGTTTGCAGGATCATGCCTTTCTCTGGGACGGGCGCGGAGGCGAAAGCGGGCGCGGCGCGTTCGATGAGCAGTAACCTGTGCTGGTGAAAGACTCCAAGGCTTTGAGAAGCACGCGACATGATGTCTGCAAGTCGGAGATCGATTGGCAGTGATGCCCTCTGCACGGTGTAGCCAGAAGGCCCCTCAGTCCCCTCTTCCATGGTCTGGCAGATATCCCGATGTTTGGAGGTTGTTTATGAAGCGGACATTTGAACCGGTCTGCATCGGCATCGCATATTTGACTGTCCCGTGCTTCGCTCTGTTGATATCTTGGGTGAATTCATGCTTTTTCTGCAAAAGGAGCTGATGAGGGAGAGGACTTCCGTCCGGGGACCGACGCAATGAGCCTGCGGCCATGAGGGAGGATAACAAGCGAGAAACGTATATCCCATGCAGTACAAGACAACAGCAAGATGACGCAACTGCTTTACCTGCCCGCCTGATTGAACCAGTCTCCTTTCTGGTTGAGTTGGTCTTAACTTCTTCCACGCCTCTCTTGCTTTCGATGGCTGGCCGAATGGTCGTGCTAGAGGAAACTCAGCACCAGGTTTCTCAAGAATGGTCTGAGATTCTACAAGATCACTGGATAATAGTACCAGATTGCTGCGGACCTCCAACCACGTGTGGCGTTCATAGTTTCCGATTTAGAAATGTCTTCTCCAAAGCAGCCCTTCCCTCAAGCTTTTCCGTAGTGCAGTTTTAATCTCGTAAATAGTAGCTTGCAAGTGTTCTCTGGCCCGTTCGTCGTTCTTATGCATGAACGTTCTCATGAATCGACGTCGGCTTAGTGGTGAGTGATATTCGGGCGACGTAGAGGTGTTCTGGATAACCTCCTTGCGTGGTCGAAGGAGTTGGGGAGCTGCAATATTAGATCGAAGTTTATAGCAACAAAAAGGCAGACAACTTACCTCGAGACTCAGCACCTTCGAAACCTCCATTGATAAGAAAGGGCGCAGTCCTTCAAAGTGCGTCAGCTCGAGGAGCTTACGAACCAGTGTAACACCGAAAACGGACATTCGTTTTCCATCGTTAGATCGTCAGTTGTTGACCTGACGCCATGCGATCATGTTGACTGACGTATCCACATAACATAGCCATGTTCATTCAATCGCCACCGCAGTGACCTACAGTACGACAAAGTCGGGGATACTGCTGGCAGGCCGACGCTCTCCTCACGGTATTGTTCCCGTATCTGCTGGTGAGGTGCATCTCGGTGCGCTTGAGCAAATAGGTGTATCGGGTCCCCAGTCGACGTTGTGAACATGATCTCGAAGGACAAGATTATGTTTTCGAGCCTGCTACTGACTTAGCCCGTATAGGCTGCATCGGAGCGCTCTTGCCGGTCGCTCGCGTAGTCGGTCAACCATATGCTTTTCGGGGCGGGCTGGAAGCTCAAGAAGGAGAGTTCAGGCTTGCGAAATGTCTAGGTGCGGAAGACGCGACATTGACCGTACCCTCTTGTGAGAGTGGTCGGGGGCATCGAGTTGGAGTTGGGCACCGCGATCATCGTCGGCGTAAAGTGAAGTTGAGGATCACGTTGTTACCATCACTTGGGGTCGTGGTGGGGAGGGCTTGTCGTCGAGATTAACGGTTTGCCAATGCTGATTTTTGGCGCCCTATACGTGCTGAGTGCGCTCGGTTCGAAAGGTGTTGATGCTTGAAGGGGACGCTGTGCGACTGGCGCTGGGGAGTTCTTGTTGAAGATACCAGACGCGTTCGATATGGTCTCACGGAGACCTTGACCAACTGTGGCTTGCCCTCACGCGTGGAGCTCTTGTCATTCGGCTCGGGCGCTGCTTGTCTCGACGATCTTTTCGGCTCTCAAGGGTGCTTCCGGTCGATCTGTAGCGGGCTACCGTCTCGATTGTGGTTGCTCGATGTTGGTGATTGCTGTCGACGCGTAGAATTGGAAGTTTGAGCAAGGCGCAGGCAGGCTGTCGAGCTCCGTCTTCAGCACAGATCGTTGGAGACGCTCATGCTGCGCGCGTGTGTGAGGCATTCGCATGATGTTGGGCATCGCATTGGCGTGTGGTGGAATGAATGAGGAACGATGATTGCTGTGGCCGAGGTTTCTTGCAAGCTTGAGGTGCCCGAGGCAAATGATGTATTTGAGAAGGAATCCGCACGCACGCGAAGCACCCCGCCGCCTAGCGCTTCTGGAGCAGGCTGGCCATCCACTGTAGCTTGATTGCTCCTCCAGCGAAGGACCCCGCCTGCTCGTGCGATAAACTTCCCCTGTAATTTTACTGCTTGTCAGCCCCGCCCGGTCAGCACCCTAGGCTGTCTCTCAGGGCTCTTTTACCGCGCAGAACGACAGTCCGTAGAACCTTTAGAATTATTGGAATAACTGCGCTTCAAGTGACGCTGCTCCAAATAATTATTTCCCCTATTCTTTGCTGTCTATGAGCGATTGCGTTTTTGTGAGAGGCAAATAAAGAGCTGCCAGTACGATTACACAGGGCGATCTTCTCAGGGGCAGCGTTCCTCATCGGGAGAGCAATTGGAATAGTGGGGGGCTTAGCGCTGTTACGACTTGGGGTTTGATTCAGTGGCTTGTGCTGGCAACGCGTTTATGACCCTGACGCTCGAGGGGTCGTGTTGTGTTGCATCGTTGAATCAATGAATGACCGTATAACGAGACTCAATCAAAATTCAACCAGACCTTGCTCTTTGGCCATTCCATAAAATCTGGAGGTACCTGAAGGAGCTAAGAACTGAGGTGCCTGAATGATAGACAAGTCGCCATGAACTAACACGTGGCCCACCTCTCAGTCTTGGCGTAAGTTCCAATGCATGAGTTGAGTATACGCTCATCAGAAAACCAAGCCATTAACCGTTGGCGATACTTCTTGTCCATCTGCCATTAAACTATTCTCAAGGCTATCGGATTATTTTGGTGTTTACAGGATCTGGTACTGCCATTACTTTTACAAGACGATCTTCAATTCCACGTCCGACTTTGTTAAACATACAGGGTAAGTCTCGCGGTCCCAGTTGTTCTCAGGCGGAGTCCCCATACGCAGTGTGTCGACCAGCTGATTGCACCCAAGTGAGCATGAGAGTGAGGTTTCAGGGGATCTTTCATTCATCAAGATCAAATAACCGAGGGGAGACTAATTTAGCAGTTAGCTTCAATTGATATAGCTTGGGAGCGATAACCCGGTCAGTAGACCAGAGATGATCTTCAGGTGAGATTAGCGCCTGAATATCCAAGATTGAGTCCCGATCGATCGAAACACTACGGCCGAATCACACTGGGAGCAACGCTCAATATGGCAATACTGAGAAGCTTAAGCCGATTAAACTCCACGCGACTTGTTTAAAAGAGAGCCCCATTTCAGAACTGTTTCATCTCGCCATTGGCCGCGATGATCCTCTCAGTAACGTGCGCAAAAGTCCTCCAAGATGTTAGGTTCAACTTGCGTTCTTTTACACAAGACATTGTGAGATTGAGTTTTTCTCATTCCATGCCCAAGAGATAGACCGATTGACGATAACGCGACTCGAACAGGGAACGAGTATTATTAATAATCTAGAGCTGTCTCTGATCATGGGTATGGATTCACACGGGACGGTGGATGATCTCGCTAAAAATGACAACATATTCTACTGCCAATTACTCCTCCAACAAGACCTTATCAATTGATCTTTACGACAAAACATGGTGGCTCTCTATCTGTGAACTTCATCCTCAGCTGTTCCAATTTCGTCCGCCCGTGAGGTTGAAGGCAACTTGGCAGTGATAATTGTCAACACAGTCAAGTCCAAAGCTAGCATTCCACGGAGTCACAACCCAAAGCAAAGATACTGCACTTGAGGTTTCAAAAACGCTCAATGTTGTGCTAGCGACAAATGGTCTTCAATTAGTCGCTCCCACTCGAAGACAACCCATCATTTCTTTTGTGTTATATACAAGAACTCAAAGTTCAAAAGACTTCGCCAATTGATCCAATATACGTGGCTCCCTCACTGTTCATTCGCGTCGCATCACTGTTCATCGACTTTCGAGTCACTTTCAACCCCCCTGCGGTCACTGCAAGACTGAAACGCGCAATTTCTCGTGACTACAAATCTTCATTCAATTTATATGCAACTATTCCCGCTCCGATTTTCGCCCAACCCAATGTCTCTTGGTAGTCATTCATCGGCGTCCCTCAAACCACTTCCAACAGCTGAAGCAAGTAACGAGCAACTACATACAAGAAGGCCAATCTACCTAGGTCTCTTAGGTCCCCATTCTTGGGGACCACCAAGTTGAGAGGAAAATGTTTTTAACCCGACACCATGTGGACATCTTCATCTTCCCTTGCCTCCTCCGACGACTCCTGCTGCTCCTCCTCTTCCTCACCCGCAGCATCATCATCAGTAGTACCGTCGTTACCTACCCCCCGAATATAATCCAACGTCTCCTGGAACTTCTTACGATCCTTCTTCTCAAGAATAATAGCAGAAGCCATAAACCGAACGAACATGTTATCATCTTCGTCCTTGGAAAGAAAAAGTTCGGTCTTCTTTTCAATCCAATCCTCAACTTCCTTCAGCCTAGCCCAGATCTGGTCGGTTTCCTCACGGAGAGCCTCATATTTCTTCTTCGCTTCGTGAGCCTCTTGCTTCGCCTTTGCTGTTTCCACCTTGTTGACTTCTGTCTGTACTTCCTTGACCACCTTCTTCCAGTTTGACTGCTGCTATAAATTAGTATAATTCTTACTTATCAGGATATGGGCATCATACAAGTCCTTTCTTGTTGTCCGTGACAGCATCTTGCAGTTTCGCTGCCACCTTAATGAATCGTTCAATGAATTCTCTACGGTCGTCCTTGTCCCATTCCTGAAACACAAGCAATCAGCATCGAGAGACGTTATACTAAAGACCTTTACTTACTATAAGGTGCTTCTTGGCATAGCGCGCGGGCTGCTCAAGGTTAGGGTGTAGCAAAGTAATCAGATTCTGTCGGGGTAACTTACACTTTCGCATCCCAAATTTTTGTCACCACAGAACTTACAGGCTACGTAGTTCCCGCCTGTCCTGTCAGTGCAAGGCTCAGGATGCCCGTTCGACGGTACCTTAAGCATGTGTTTAAGGCACGGGACACATGGATAATCCCGAAAGCTGCCGGTTTGAGTGGTGGTGGGACCAGCATTGTCCGACTCTTCCTCGGCGTCAGATGGAGGTTGAGGATCGGGTGCAAACTCAGAGTCAGAGCCAGGATCAGGAAAGCGATAAATATCCTCCTACATATTATTAACTCACATCAATGATTAGAGAGATAAAGACTTACTTTGGTGTCCCTGATCCCGGCCTGGTTGATGGATCAGTACGATGATAGCCTACGGTCCGCAGAAACGTGGACTTACACGCGTTGCTCGCCCCTTTCCGGGTTTGAGGTTGGTGTTGATCCAACCCTAGGTATAAAGGTCAGACTCTGATGATGTAATATTGGAGCGTAGTATAGTATACCTTAGGTGCCATTCTACCCAATTGCAAAAGATGGATGTGAAATAGACGTAAAAGATAGATGTAAAAAGTGATGTGAAGTGTGATGTGACGTTGAAAGATAGAATATCGATGTGCTCTTATTTTCTCTAACGGATCTATTAAGGTTAAGTTTATAAAGTATCATCAATCATAGCCAACCTTACCATTCAGTCTTGAACATAAAAAAGAAAGCTCGAGAAAATCCGAGCATCAGAGTTCCGTAGAACGGCATTGAGAAACAGCTTAGTCTAACGGGTAGGTACCTGCACCTTCGACCAGGTTCTACATGCTAGTCTTGTCATCTCAATTCGAGCGTGGAGGTCTGCTGCCGCCTCATGTTTCAGCCGCGTGGGGAAATATGCGGTTGCTGAGTGGTTGGCGAAGTATCTACAGTGCCATTCAACCTGGCTACCGCTGGTGAGATGCTGATGCTTCACGCGGAGTTACGCTATCACCTTCCGGATCGAATACGGGTTGATGTATGTCGTTCTCAAGGCTGAAGTCAGGAGATTCTATAATTTCATTATGGTTGACAGTTTCGTGGCTGTAAATACTACGAAGTTGTTCGGAAGTCCAGAGCCTCGAATTGGTGATTATCGTGTCCCCCGCATGCAGCTGAACCGAAGACTGCCAACAACTCACATCTCCTTCGTTTGCGATAATTCGCGTGCTGCAAACCAAGACCTGGAATTCACGTTGCGTTTCGTTGAGGCGGCATCCTGCCTGCACGGAAAGATACATTAGTTTTATGACTGCTTTCTTAGCCGATATCTCATCATATTCTGGCCTGAGACGAGCCGTTGCTTTTGGCTGTGTAACGTCCAGCCATCTTTTCTCGGTTCTTCAATTTGGCTGGGCTTGACCAGCACGATACGTATCTTATACTGTCATGACTGTATTTCACGTGATTTCTCAATTTCTTTTCGCATTGCTGGACTTGAACCTGTGATCATCTGTAACGGGGAGTGTACTTGGAGGCAGACATCTCCCAGCTGGGAACACGGCCAGATATTTAAGGTCATTGTGACTACACAGTTGTAGATATGTCGCTTACATTTGAGGCTTGTGGTTGAGAGCATAAAAGTATAGATGACTTCAATGTTACTACACATGTGTTCCCAAGTAGTTCACATTCTTTATTCAGTAACTTTTTTCTCATACTTACCCATTAATGCATACATCTTAAGCCATCGGATTCTCAGCCGATTTATCGCAGACAGCTTTATGGAGTTCGGCAATTGGCATCAGAGATATTTTGTCTATGCGGACAGCTAGGCATAGAATTTAGTACCTGCAGGTGGTGACTCCGTTCTCACGCGGTGTCTCATCGAGCTGGAACGTTGGCGCATTGATCGGCAGCTACCTACAAAGCACACATAAGCTGAGACTTACCTTAACCACCTTGGCCCCGATATGACAACGCGACAAACCGGGTATCCGGAGCCAATCCTCCCGTGTCTGCCAATGTACCTTCGTGCAAACGGGCTATCACATTGCAGCGAAATTATCCAAGTGCTAACTCCCGCCACCTCCACCTCATGTCTCAGCCCAGCCAGAACGTATCGTTGTCTCATCTCACTCTCCCACGCAAGTACCCGTACACAAACGCGCGCTTGCATAACCGATCTCACCCCCCTCCCCTTGTCCGTATCGGACAGCACCGTGTAGGCTAACTAAGCTTCCCAGGCCGCCCGCCCCAGAATTCCAACGTTGAAAACGGATTGAACATCTCGGATCCTCCCGTTCAAACAGAAACAACGCAATATTTGCAAACATAAACGCACATTTATCAAACTCGGTTGCATTTCCAAACAGAATTGACCCAAACGTGTTGATGATGCAGCCATGCTATGGGCAGAGAGACGGACGGAGCATGCATGTTACCTTGCTGAGGAGGGAAAAAGCAATTGAGCCAGGGGAACAGACAAGGCAAGGCTGGTTGAGTGACTTTGAAGAAATATCTTACGCTTGAGTTTGAATCGATGTTCATTTATTTATTTATGTTTATCACTTGATGTGATTATCCTTTCTGCTTCTTGCATATCGAATTCACACTTGATGAGCTGAGTTCTTCTTACCTTACCTACAGTCCCTGTACCTTGCACCAAACACAACCCTTAGTCTATCACCATGAGTGACACTAAGAAGAACGCATCTGCTACACCATCTGAGAAGTTCAGCGTAAGCCGTCCCTACACTCTGACCTCCAATTGTTTTACTAATCAGTCTAGTCTTTTTTCCAAACCGATGCTTCCAAGCCCAAGCCCAAGGCTGCTAAGGCTACCAAGACACAGGCCGACAAACTGACCCAGCCCAAGACTCAACAGAAGCCAGCAAGGGGCCGAAAAACACCTCTCAAGGCCAAAAGTCCTGTGGTGGTCGTTCCAGACTCGGAGGGTTCCCACGACGAGAACGCTGCGGCGTCTCAGACTGTCACGCCTGCCAGACGCAGGGTTCGCGCCACCAAGCGTCCCGCACTACAGGCATCGTCGCCCTCTCCCAAAAGGTTTAAGAGCATTGATCTCCTGGTGAATTCCACCTTCGACGACGCACCGGCCGGTGAAGCCACCCCTAAGCTCAGTACTCGAAGCCCTGCGCCCGTCAAGCGCCATGCGGTTGCTTGCCGTGAGTGTATCGACAAATGGCGTACTGACTCTTCCTGGATTTGTGAGATGACCGAGTCTGGCAGTAAGTTTTGCCTCTATTGATACTGATAGCTTGTACTCATTATTACAGAGAGGCCTTGTGTTAGTTGCGAGGTTGATGGGTATAGATGCTCGGATGTAAGTACATACTTGCAAGCACAGTGACTTAAACTGATGTATCCAGGATATGCTCGAGGATTCTCGCATGGACGTCCAGAGAGTTCATGAGATGGCGAACCGCCACCGACTGGGTCTTTTTGTGGTATGTTCAATCTTTTCCCTCTCCTTCCACAATATTACAGTATTTAACTTAACTTAGAACCCTGAATCCTGGCACACTGGACTCTGTTCCGTGTTGTCAGGTGTCGAGACCTTCGATGCTTGCCAACGGGCACGAGAGATCTCGATTCAAGTGAATGAGGCTGTCGCTAGGATTGAGTGCCACATAAGAGAAGAGAGGGCTGAGCTCGAGGCCCTCAAGGACGCCATGAAGGAGGAGAGAGCCCAACGGAGAAAGCTCGAGGCTCAGGTTAGAGATATGCAAGTACAACTTGACGACTTCAAAGCTGGTAGAGATGGGGACAATGAGGATGATTGGGAGGATGAGGTTGAGGATGAAGGTGATGTTGGTAAGGCTTAGAATGCCGGTAGTGTAGAGTAGAAGCGGTTGCCCTTTTTCTTTTGTCTTTCTTACATACTCTCATTACTTGGCTTGTTATTTCTCGGTATGGGTTTCTTTTCGGGGATCGCTAATTCTCACAATTTGAACATGGCAATCTTTTGGTTATTCTGCATTGCATGAAAGAGTTCTTCAATAACAGCCTGTTGTCCTTTCACCACCCACCGACGAGCCCGAGTAGCAGTCGTGGACTGATAATCAGAGTCCCAGCCCCTGCGAAGATGGTCACCTCTCGGATGATGAGGTGAACAGGGTGAGGCCTTGACCGTCGCCCCGGCAGGTCAATAGTTGCCCTCTGAGGCACAAAACAACTGCCTTTGAAAGAGCCCCTAATGTACAACAGGTAACATCCAAGCGCTCAAGATGTGAAAAAATAAGAGCAGTGACAGCGGTAAGCAACAATGTCTCTGCCAAAAGCTCATAAACCTCCACAGAGGGCTCGCCACCAAACGAAGGTGCATGTTTCTCCTCGCCAGCGCTGTATTTTGCTCATAGCGGCGATCATGTCATCTTGACTGATGACTCGAGAGTTAACATGATACAGCTTCACTTCCCTCGTTTCGGCTATATATTGGCATCATCGAAGTTCAGTCTACCCAGGTTGCCTTGTTTCCGCTTGAGGTCCGCTCCGCGATCTCCCTCTGGCTGCAAATTGAAGTTCTTGACAGCCAATAATGAACTTCTGACTCTTATCTCGATGGTGCAGGATATTCGTTTTCTCTGCCTTAATTACCCGCCTTGTTTGTTTTTTTGCGCTCCTTCTTTCTGGTGTTTGAGTTACAATGGCGCCCTTCATAGCTACAGAGTCCGTTGCTCGCTGATCTACTGTGATCACGAGCTCAATGTACACAAAATTCACGTAAGCTATTCAGCAAAGTAGCAAGTTCTCCGTCTAACCTTCAATTGAGAGTCGTCTCCACGCCTGGCGGCTGGTTCGTTGTCTCTGTCACGGCTTGGTGAGAGCCTGTTGTGTTCACTGTAACCACGTTGATCTTTTCGTCCCCACTGTATATTTTTTCCCCTAGAAAGATTTCTATCACAATGCATGTACAAAATTTCTGTTCGCAAGGGTGTTTTGTCGCTGAGGTTGCTTTCGTTGGCCTTAGTATTGAGGAAGTCCTGGAGTTCTTCCACAGTTGCACAGGTACCATCTCTGCATTTGAACTATCGCCTGGCGTTTAGATCCATGAAAATTGATAGTCTTGTTCAACTGCTCGACTTGAATGCGTTAAATTTACAGTAGCATTATAGCGGTAAGTCCGATGACACTTGATATGTGAAAAAGCTGGTCAAATGTAGCGTAATCTCAGCCCAATCAATCGCAGCAGTATTGGGGTTCAGTGGCCGCAATGACTAAGAACTGCGAAAAGACCATCATGGAATTCAGCGCCATTCATTCATGTTATACTGTTGACGAATGCTGAGAGAGAATAAGCCTTCTCAGCTGTCACATCCGACCAAGAGCAGCAACGAGGCCCGATGCGAAACTCAAGCATAACGCTGTACGAGAACGGACGTAAGTCAGATCATCGCCACTCAATATCAGCATCAAGTTGACACATATGCGAAATTTCAAGTTGCTCCCTACTTAGCACAACTTGCCACGGGCCAGTACGAACGAAGTGGGAAATTACGGCTGCCACAACAACCAGCGATCTCCCCATATGCCACGCCTCCTTAGGGACAGCACTGAGGTCTTCCAGCTCTTGAGCCTGGTCAGAACTGCTGACCTTCAACAGGGCATGGAGCTCTTTATGAACGGTCTTTCCGTCTCCCAAAGCATGTCCCCAGGGCATCTGCGTAGTCTGTGTCTTCCATCTCGCACTCAACAGCCTCAGGGTTGGTCCTCAGATGGAGCCAGGGCCATCCACTCGCTCGACTATCGGCTTCTCGATAGGTCCAAGTTGTTATATGGAGTTCTCATCACCTAGAAAGGCAATCAATTTCACGCGTGTTGAATGGGAAGGCTGATTCGATGGTCGCAGTCAGCGATGTGAAGGTTGAGATTATGCAAGAATGGTGGGAGGGGGAAACGTTCGGCAACAAGTATAGAAAACAATGATAGGGGAGGGACGATGTCTAGCGGTAGGGGGGATCTTCTTCCCTAGGTAAACTTGCACATAAAATGGCGACGGAAGAGAGAGTGGGTGTAAGCAAAGGACTAAAGGACAGCAGGCAACAGATGGACTTCAGGCCATTCACTCTCCCTGATTTCAAGGCACAAACAAACAGCAATCAACAAAACATCCTGTTCAATTCACACTCCCTCTCATCTTCCTCAATCATCATATCTGTACTAATGACATCCGACGCACAATCTGTCCGAGGCCTTGAACCCAGATAATTCGGCGATCGCTCGAAGACCTTTGCGACTGTACTAAACTAGGTCTCATACCCCATATTGGAAGATCCATCAAAAGACGTCACGCTTACAGTTGCACAGGGCATATGCCACCCCCTGACTGAATCATATTGCCTGCCTTGTTATTGCAATTGTAGCGTGTTGTTGCTTGCTGCCATGCGAGCTACGCCTGCTGCACCCGAGTGCGATATCCGGACCCTGCTGCCTGATGTTAGAGGCCAAGGGAGATGCGACGAGGAGCCAGCTTTTGGCGCCGATTCATGACTCAAGATGAAAAGACCCTTGTCGAGGATACAGGATCAGGGTCAGAGTCAAGACAAACAGGCACTTGACCATGGTCCATAATCGGAGCAGGCAATGCACCGAGATCTGGACCAACATTATTGCCGCCAAGCTTGTGTAGGTGCCGCAGTCGTTCCTAGCACTAGCACACCAGTCTTGAGCTCACAGAAACCTCAATCCTCCCCTGGCCCAAGTACAGAAGCTGCGTGGCGGTCACTGTAGCAGTTTACGCATTGCATTGGCTGCAGCATTCAACTCTTCAATGACTCTCTTGGACTCTCCTCATATGTCCAAGTATCCCTTGTCAGTCGCTCGGGATAGCTGCATCTTGTAGGATGTGAATGCGAGTTAGTGACAGGTAACATGGGATATGCAGATGCCTCTGTGTCGATCCATGGTAGTTGTCAATTGGGCCCATGCTGCGTTAGCGACAGATCCGAAACATATTAATTTTGAACTGGTGAGGTTGTTGGTCTTGCTTCCCTTGCCCAGGACGGAGGTTGGAAGACGCCGAATGTCGCAGGCTGCGCTGTGACGGAAAGCGTGCGGAAGAAGCATGGATAAGAGGGGTGACAGACGTAGGGCATTGCAATTGAGGAGATCTGCCAAGATATAGGTCAGGGCCCTAGTCAGTACCTCCTTGGTCTGGCATCTCAACTGAACTCTCTGGGCCTAAAAGAGATGCCGAGCTTCTCTGGCCAAGAAACACTCGCTCCATACAGTCCGATCTTGAGTTCAGGATTGGACAACGCCCCAATGTTTCTGCTGCTCTTCCTACGCAACATTGATCCGCAGGGTTCAAGATTCTCTACAGCACCATGGCGAGTTCCCTTGGAAAGGCATAGTGTCGGGTCAAAGCTGTCATCACCGTGGTGCCAGAGCACTCAACCTGCTTAGTTCTCGTAACACTGTTGCTCCAGAGGAACATCACAAGGTGTTCTCTGTGTAATCGTTGCCTGTATCATGTTGTTCAGCGCAGCATTGACGGCTCGTCGTGAAGTATCCATTGTAAGCAGTAGATATCCAGCGATTTTGTAGAATACTATTATTAGAGGAAAATAGGCAAGGGCGGAGAAAGTAGCGTGAGAATGACTTTCTTCTAAACTTGTTGAACGATAGTATTCTGCAGGAGATGGCCAGCGAGACAGATTAACTTGTAGTATTTTGAACTGGCGAGAGAGAAATGCAATTTGGAGAGTTGGCGTCATCCAGAGCACCACTTCCCAGCACGACACCGACAAGTCAGGGCTTCTGGGCAACAGGAAGAGATGCCACATGTTCTTACGAGATGACGGAGGCTGACTGAAGCATATAAGAGGTAGAAAAGTCGCTAGATCCAAACAACAAAAAGTTGGGATTCACTGTGTCCAAGTCAGGTTCATTCAGTCGTAGAGATCGTAGTACTAGAAGTCTAATGCAACACTTCCGACCCGGAACATCAACAGCCAGCGTAGTCACTGCGCTCGTCAAACTGGCTACGGCGAAGGGAATCAGCAGTTCTGGTCAGACCTCAGCTGATGACGGTGGGCTTCCCAGCCGAATTGCAACGAACGCTTGCAGCAAGTCTCAGAGAAGAATCTTTCAGGACCACCCTGCGCAGCTTGCTTATTCAAGCGTGCAACTTTTCAAGCACTGCTGTATCTCTTCTTGAGCAACCAACAGGTGACCATCCTTACTAAAACCAGGGGCTCTGTCTGGCAGTTGTGTTTGGCATTGTACGGGTCGCATGGATAGACGCTCTTACTGCTTAGAAGTAATAGGGAGGATCGGCCATTCAAATGCTCGTCGCTTGTGTGCCGATTGCCTAATGCGATCGCTCGTGATGTCATCACCTGTGTTGTTAGCATGTTTCTTCTCTGGATCTGATCGTCACCCTCGAGAGGAGGTCACAACGACTATCGTTTATTACTTAACGAATCACCAGAGATGGGGACTCAGTCTAACCGGCTGATGATTTACCCTTGCTGAATTTTAAAACCAGTGGAAACCTCGACCTCTCCCAAACTCGAATCCCTCCAGTCCAAACCAAATCCGAAACGACAGTCATCTCTTGAAGGAAACGAAATACGCAAGCAGCTACATCTCCCAGCCGCCAAACTCAGGCAGCAGACCTTTATCCCTGTCGCCTGGCCCAGGCGTCATGTAAGTCCAAGTCCTCCTCAAAACAGTCGGTAGAGCGCGATGAGTAGCTGCCACCAGGCAGCGCATCTGGCGAGAAGTTCTTTCTCAGCACGACAGTCCCAAGCTTCTGGAAGGGTTGCGCCCACTGAGCTGAAGCCACAGCATCAGACAAACCCTTATCCCTACCGACTGGATT